GCGGTGCGACATCGAACCATGAGTGGACAGCCGAGTATCGTTTCTGCACAACCGGTGTGCAGCACCCCTTTGGCTACCAATGAGCTCACTTTCTCGCCTGGATGTCACGGCAGCACATCCCGGCCTGCCCCGGTGTCATACGGCCAACGAACTTCACTAGCTCGTCGCCGTTTGCTGGGTTCGTGATTATAGACATAATTGCTTGTCCCAAAATTCCTGCTCGTGCTTCAGCAACCGCATCCACCCTGTGCTTATGTCCTTTTGTGCTTGTTTGATCCATTTGTGCATTTCTGCTTTCGGTTACCAACCCACAGGAGACTTGCCAACCAACCTACGCTGACGCTATTGGCAAGCAGAGGTTTCACACGTAAAGGTGGATTGTAACACGCACAACCTGGCTTCTCCAATACGGTATGCGCACTCCTAATCAGCCCCATACCCTAGGGTACTATACGGCTCAAGTCATACACTTGCTGTCTTACATGACCAGTCCGCCACACTCCTAATGGATGTCACTTTTTTTTTAGTGCCCATGAGCAGTCATGCTTCCTTTTTGTACTATTCGACTGCAAGATCATGCCACCTACACCTTCAATTACATCCCAACCCCCCACCTCCCCCAACCCCTCTCCCACCCGTGCCTTCTGGTCTCTGACACAGCTCTGTCACAGGTCCGGGTTTCGAGGTTGATGTGCCCGTGTCCCAAGTCAGTTCCCAACCCCGTCTTCACCTCATACTTTATTCTTCATCCTTCATCTGACGTCTTGTCTGTGCTGCTTTGGTCAGCACTCTCTGAACGTTGCTTCTCCGAAAGACGTAGCGTACTCTAAACAGGTCCACAACCCCATTCTGTTGAGGCATAACATGAACTAAAGGGCCTCCCAGAAACCTCAGATGGTTGAGCGTGGCCTGCTGCCTTTGCGGTAGCGATCTTCACATCATTGTTGTCCTCTAAAAATGTCATGGCATGTGTGATATTGACCTTGAACTCTGATTGTTTGTTTTGAGACTGTCGGTTTTAGGGTTTGTTTACACATGCGCATACCATTCTCCAATGCTAGGCATCCTAGTATATAATCTCCCTTCTGTATAATTCACTAAGGGAAGCTGCATTTTTGAAATAGTTTGGTAGGTTGATCCATTTAGCATCTATGAGGCGAATGCATGCACCAAAACAATGCCGTCAACAGGGCCTGTACACAGGAGTGGGTGAAAAGGCAGCATAGGAATGGAGAAATCAGGTATTGTGGGAGGGAGTGGGCAAGAGCAGGCGATATCAGAGTGGGTGTGTTGGGAACCCGAATTTGTGGGGAACGGGATGTGAGATGCAGGGTGAGTTTGGAGTAGGTACGGTGTGGTCACGGAATGAGATAGGTGAGGGGATAATGGTTATGAGAATAAAGTGGGAGAATGGGGTGGTGGCACTGAGCATGTCAATGGGTAAGTTTATGTGAAACTCTTGGGTACGATGGAAGCAAAGCAAGTTTGATTCGACAAGATGGAACAAATGATTGCGGAGAGCTTATGAGCGGGAACGGACTTGGGAGTTGTTGATGGAACAGAGTGATGAGTGGAAGAGGGTAGAGGGGTGGGAGGACATGGGCAGGCGGAAAGGCATGCGCAGGGCGGAAATCCATTGGCAGGGCGGACTTGCCTTGGCAGGGCGGAAATCGGATGGGGGAAAGCGGATGGGGGAAAGCGGATGGGGGAACGCAGTTGTGGCAAGGCGGATGGGGGAAGGTAGGTGGGGGAAAGCGGGTTGGGGAAGGCTGGTGGGGAAGGCTGGTGGGGGAAGGTTGGTGGGGGAAGGCTGGTGGGGGAAGACGGAATGGGGCAGGGCGGGATGGGGGGGATGACACGCAACGGTGTGCCTGCAGTGTATGACAATTCACACACTGAACGGGAGGGGAGGGCATGGGAGGAAGAGGGATGGGGAGGGGAAGGGTTGGTGGAGGGGAAGGGGGTGACATGAGGGGAGGGATGTGGGACGCGAGTGACAATGATCAGGCAGACAATGTCATCCTCCTTCCCTTCCCTGCACCTGGTTGTCGGAACTTTTGCCAATCAGTGCCGATGAGACGTAGCCCACCAGCTCACATGCACACGGGCCAAGGGCTCCCGTGTACAGCGAAGGCAGGGAGGGCAGGGAGGGCATGGGATAGCAGCATACCTAGAGCAGCGAGGCTATTGTCAAGCATCTTGCCCGTCTGCACGCGCACACACACACACAGTGAGGGGGATGGGCAGGGAAAAGAGAGCGTTGGAACAGGAGGTGGTGGGAAGGCAAAAGATGAAATCTGGGTGGTACGGGTAGGAAGGGGGAATGGAACGGACGTGGAGAGGGAGGTGGACGGACGTATGGCAATGAGGATGTATGGGGGAGCAGCCATGCGAGCGGTGACATTGAAGGACGAGACAGCAAAGCATGGTGCTGAACAACTTCACGGCGTGTTGGGTGGCATGGCAGCCAAGCTCACGGTGGAGCATGACACGGGCATAGCGTTCCAGGTTGAAGTGCTCGTACAGCCGATTGCCCAGCCCTAACACGGCAAAGCGCAGCCCCTCCAGTGGCGAGGGGTTGTCGTCCTGGTGGCGGCAGAGGAGGTGCCCGTGGGACGGCTGGGGACTGAGGTATGAACAGAGGGGTGGTGGCAGGATAACGGCACAGCGTGAACCAGTCATGAAGGGCAACACGCACGCGCTGCACCTAGCCTCTCCACCGCTGCTTACCTCTGCCTCTGCAGCAGCAGCAGTGGCGTGCATCCTCTTGAAGAAACGCTGCACATCGTCCGTTGGCTCTCCGTCAACGTAGCTGCCGGCGGGTGAGGGAGGGGAGGAGGTGAGCAATGGGGGGAAGGCATGAGCAAATGAGGAATGGCATGGGCAAGGCGGATAGGCATGGGCAAGGCGGATAGGCATGGGCAAGGGGGAAAAAAAAAGCAAAGGGGAAATGCATGGGCAAGGGGGAAAGGAATGGGCAAGGCGGATATGCATGGGCAAGGGGGAAAGGAATGGGCAAGGGGGAAAGGCATGGGCAAGGGGGAAAGGCATGGGCAAGGGGGAAAGGCATGGGCAAGGGGAAAGGCATGGGCAAGGGGAAAGGCATGGGCAAGGGGGAAAGGCATGGGCAAGGGGGAAAGGGACGGGCAATGGGGAAAGGCATGGGCAAGGGGGAAAGGCATGGGCATGGGGGAAAGGCATGGGCAAAGGGGGAACTGCACGGTCACCTGCTCCGCGTGCAGCATGCTCGCCGGTGCTGTGCGCGCGGCCAGCAGAGCGCGCGGCGCTGCCTAGTGAGCGAGGTGGGCGCTGACACGGCGGGTGGAGCGGCGCGTGGGCGCTGTGACGTTGGAGCATGTCGTTCATGCACAGGGAGGGAGGGAGGGGCAGAGGGGAGAGCGGAGGAAGAGACATTGTGAGAGAGCAACGAGAATCCAGGAAAGGCAAGAGGGGTGGAGGCGCATGCAGTTATAGAGCGCGCACATGCAGTCTCCCTTGTCGCATGACGCACATGCAGTCGCATGGCGCACATGCAGTCGCACCTTCCCCCATGCAGTCGCATGGCGCGCATGCAGTCGCATGGCTTGCATGCAGTCGCATAGCGCACATGCAGGCGGCATAGCGCACATGCAGTCTAGGAGCGCGCTCGTGAATTCACAGCGCGCGCACATGCAGTGAGAGACGAGCCCGCACCTAATACGACAGCGGATGAGAGACGAGCGCGGATTGTGGGCCAGTACGGATGAGAGACGAGCGCGGATGAGCGAGGTGCGTGGAGTGAGATTTCGATCGCGGATGAGCGACGAGCGCGTATGAGATTTCGAGCGCGGACGAGCCGTGAGCGCAGGTTCTCTAAGATCGCAGGTGAGCGCGGGGGTTGGATGAGCGACGAGCGTGGGTGTGCGACGTGCCGAATGCAAACGACATGAGAGCGGGGGGACGATGAGAATGGCAAAGCACTTTCCCAGCCCACACGCCCTAGGCTTTCTGGGTATCGCGTCGTGCCTGCCGCAGCAGTATACACCTACGATGGCTTATGACTGTTGCTGGGCGCCGAGAAGACATTGACTCGATGTACGTCACCATTGAGACCTTCCTCACAGTCGAGGGTGTCTACGCGATTTTAGTGAACCTGGTCGTAGCCCTAATCGAATAATTTATCATTCCTTGACGCATTCCGGAGGGCGTATAGGAGTGAGGGGTCTAAGGGCTGGTTACTAATCTTGCTTGGAGTGAGTGGTCTAAGTGTGTTGCCCCTTCCCCCTGGCTTTCCTCGGTGGTTGAACTGCAAAAGTCCCAAATTGCGGGGCTGTTGGCGTCAAGGTGAGTATTTGGAGTCTGCCTGGTGTTAGGGTCGGGGCTGCAGAGTTTCGCACGGATCCAGCCAGCCAATCGCGACGATTGGGGACAACTGTTGCGGTCGCTCGAACTTCCGTGTCAATGAATCGGGTAACACACTTCCAAGGCCATCAAGATTACTAATCTTGATGGCCGCGGCTTGCAATTTGGGCCTTGAGCTTTAACGGGATGATGAAACGCGAGAGGCGAGCCGCGGAGTTCTCGAGGGGGATGGCGGTACGAACCCACATCAGGGGAGCCCAGCGAGGAATGAAAAGGCAGTGCGGTGCCGGAATGAACGTAACGTATTCGAAGTCACTTTGAGTGTAGAACTGCTTGATGCAGTTTGTTCGCAGTGCTGTCACCTGCACAGCGCTGTACAGCTTCCCCAGATTGCTACGACGGCGCTGGGAATGCTGGTCGGTCCGACAAAAATAGCCTGACTGCTGATGCAGGCAGCAGAAGGCGAGTGCAATGTCAAATCTTCCTATGGCAATTCCGATGGTGAAGATGGAAGTGAGGAGTCATCAGTCGCAATGAATTCCCCTCTATTTTCCAAACCGTAGTAATGAATTTCGATACCCAATAGTAATAAGACCACAACATATCCTGAAACGGATTGTTGCGAAATTGGGATATGGTAAAATGCTATTACACCCCTTTCATGAAAGATGGACCATTCCTGTTTTGTTGCTCCGTACACAGACTACCTGATGATCCCAGACCAACTCATAAGGCTTCTTTTCACCCTCGGAATCCTCTATCACCTTTGTAGAATCAATTTCCATCTTCTTCACCACCTCCAACCCCAAATCCTTCATCTCACATCCAACTCTTTCAAAAACAGCTGTTTGCGTGGCAAATCCCAAGTGCTCCGCTTCTGGCAGCACACCGACTCCACCGAATGTAACATGGTAACCATACTCCTGGGCCAGGGCGTTGGCCCAGGATTCAAACTCCTTCCTCGTCCACTCGGATCGGTGATCGGAATTTCTCAACTCCTGTTGCTGCTCCTGAGCCTGCTGGACTGTCTGACCCGCCTGCTGGCCTGCCTGCTGTCCCTTCTTCTTTTTCCTCCTCTTCTTCCCGCCTGCCTGTGCTGCTGCTTCTTGTGGCTGCTTCAGTGGTGGCTCTTGCTGATTGTCACCATTAGCAAGTGTGGTGACAGCATCACTCGCAGCAGCAGCAGCAGGACTTGCATCGGCTGCAGCAGTGTCAGCAGAAGTTGTTGCAGGAGCACTAGCAGCAGCAGCAGCAGCAGCAGCAGCAGCAGCAGCAGCAGCAGCAGCAGCAGCAGCAGCAGCAGCAGCAGCAGCAGCAGCAGCAACAGTAGCAACAGCAGGAGCAGCAGCGACAACATTGGTCGCAGGAGCAGCAGCAGCCGCAGGAGCATCAGCAACAGCCGCAGGCGCGTCAGCAACAGCAGCAGGAGCATCAGCAGCAGCAGCAGTGGTGGCTGTACGGATGGCAGGGTTGTACTCGATATTAGGCGTGGAGACGAGCAGAACGCGTGGTCTGAGTGCTCCCAGCACCACGGCTCCAAAGGCAGCTAGCGGCTCCTCATCTAAATGCTCCACCACCTGATGGGGTAAAGACAACACACGTAAAGATGCAAGCATAACTTGAGATCACTCCAACTTCCAAAGGCTGCTAATGCTTTCTCGTCCAGATGCCCCCACTTGATGGGGTAGGGATGAAATGATATGACACACGCACATGCATGCAGCACAACACACATAGATGCGCACAGAGGCAGGCTTTTGAGAATTCTCAAAAACCAGCTGCACACAGAGGCAGAGAACAAGCAACCGAGACTAAGCCAACAAGAAGCAACCGAGACTAAGCCAACAAGAAGCAACCGAGACTAAGCCAACAAGAAGCAACCGAGACTAAGCCAACAAGAAGCAACCGAGACTAAGCCAACAAGAAGCAACCGAGACTAAGCCAACAAGAAGCAACAGAGACTAAGCCAACAAGAAGCTATCGTATGATGCACCTTCACGTGCCTTAAGGCATACGCCTACACTTCACACCATGGCATGGCATACCTCTAAACAAGTCGCCACGTCAGCACCCTTCATGCGGTCGTCCACGTCAGCAAGGGAACCGGCATAGAGCGCCAACCGTGCTGAAGCTGCTCGTGCTGCAGCAGCGCAGGTCGTTCCTAGTGCAGGTTGCAACTGAGCTTCAGCAGTGCTACAGGTCGTTTCTGGTGCAGGCTGAAACTGAGCTCCAGCAGACGCTGATTCTGGTGGTGGCTGTGTGGCTGCTTGCAGGTTAGTGATGGTGCGAGTTAGGCTCTGATACCATTCAAGCGGGCGACAGGGACGCACGGGAAAGAGGGGCATGTTGGGAGTGAGGGGAGGTGGAGGTTGAGGGGGGGTGGAGGTTGAGGGGGGGTGGAGGTTGATGGGAACGGGTTGAGTTGAGAAGGAGGCATAAGGTGCCTTCCATAGTCACGGGTTGGGTTGGGTTGGTAAAAAAAAAAAAAAAAAAAAAAAAAAAGCGCTTCCACCTTCCACACCTCCCCCCCATCTCACTCTCTCACCCATCCAGCCATTCCCCCCGCAGCCCTTTCCTGCTCAGCCCATTCACCAGTCCGGTCCGCTCCAGCTCCTGGCTGATGTCAAACCCCACCATGCTCGTCCTTTCCATTCCACCACATTCATTGCTTTCCTTCACCTCCTCTCCTCTGACCTCACCCCTCATTACCTGCCTCATCTACTCACCCGACCAGCTCGCTCAAGCTCCTTCTGGCTCATGTCAAACCCCACCATGCTCGCCGGTAAACAGAACGGCCCAGCGTTGCTCCCGCTACCGTTGTCACAGCCAGTTGTGCTTCTTCCCTTGCCACCGTCCTTGCTCGCTGCGGCTGAATCAGACAGCAGGTAGTCAAAGAGAGAGGCGGACCCACACCCAACGTCCAACTGGAAGGGGAAATGCATGATGAGAGTGCAGCAGGTGAAAGTTTTCGAGTCGACTCAAAAGCAAAGAGAGAGGCGGACCCACACCCAACGTCCAACTGGAAGGGGAAATGCATGATGAGAGTGCAGCAGGTGAACGTTTTTGAGTCGACTCAAAAAAAGTTTTGCAAGGGGATACTGCTTTTGAGTCGACTCAAAAAAAGCTTTGCAAGGGGATACTGCTTTTGAGTCGACTAAAAAAAAGTTTTGCAAGGGGATACTGCTTTTGAGTCGACTCAAAAAAAGTTTTGCAAGGGGATACTGCTTTTGAGTCGACTCAAAAAAAGTTTTGCAAGGGGATACTGCTTTTGAGTCGACTCAAAAAAAGTTTTGCAAGGGGATACCTTCTCTTGTTCTCTAATGCAAGCAGCAAGCTGCTTTAGTAAAATTTTGACAACTGCCCGAAACACAGAGAGTGCGCAAGGCAGTGAACCACAACCAGCTGCAACACCCGACCCCACCCCACCACGCACGAGGAAATAGGAATATCCAGACTCACGAGGAAAGCCGGCGAATGCTTTGAGATGAGTGCAGCGGCGAAGGCAAGGCGCTGCTTGGAGAGGGAGGGCGAGAAGATGGCAGCATCGATGCGATCCTCCTCCTCCGCTGCTGTCACTGCGAGCAGGGTGACTCGCCAGTGGAGGTTTGAGGGACCTGAAAGAGACGAGAGGGTCGGGAGGTGGGTTGCTTGAGGGGAAAGAGAGGGATGGGGAGAAAATGGCTGCATCGATGCGATCTTCCTCCTCCGCTGCTGTCACTGCGAGCAGGGTGACTCGCCAGTGGAGGTTTGAGGGACCTGAAAGAGACGAGAGGGTCGGGAGGTGGGTTTCTTGAGGGGAAAGAGGGATGGGGAGAAAATGGCTGCATCGATGCGATCTTCCTCCTCCGCTGCTGCCTGCGAGCAGGGTGACTCGCCAGTGGAGGTTGGAGGGGCCTGAGATTGGGAAGAGCGGGGTGGGGGGTGAGTGCATGAGGGAAAAGAGAGGAAAGGAGGAGGGGGATGCTGCAGGCCAGGTAAGTTCCAGAGCAGGAAACGCAGATGACCTTACATTACATGCATCATTACATGCATTAGATGACCTTACATTACATGCATCATTACATGCATTAGATGACCTTACATTACATGCATCATGACAGCAGCTCATCTACCCACATGATGCACCCGAAGAAAATCAACCACATAAGAACACACCCTCTGCATCACCACTACCACTACCACTACCACCCGCATTATTCTATGACCCCCCCCCCCCCCCCCTCACCTGCCGCAGGCTGAATTGCCTCCAGGGCCGGGAAGGGTGGCAGGTGCCCACGGACTGGAATGCTGACGTCAGCAGTCTGACCTGGCAGCAAGCGGCCAATCACAGTCTCAATCTGCTCGCCCACACAGCCGCGCCCGAACTCAAACTCGAAGCACTCCTTGCTCTCCAAACAGACCTCCTTCGAATAATCCCGATCCCGGGGCGATTTTCCGCCATCCTGTTGCAGCTCAACACACTGAAGGTCGGTCTTCTGCAGAAAAGCTTCGTAGGCTATTGACACGAGACAACCAAGGGCAGCAGGTGTGGGGGAAGAGGACGGGGGCCCTGGGGAAGAACCGAGTGTTGCCGCTGCATCCGTGCTGCCTAGCGTTGTCGCTGCACTGATGGTTGCTCCAGTTGGTGAAGAACGATCGACCTCCTTCAACCGCTTTCTTGCCATTGTACCATCTCCCTCCTCCTCCTCCTCCTCCTCCTCCTCCTCCTCCTCCTCCTCCTCCTCCTCCTCCTCCTCCTCCTCCTCCTCCTCCTCCCTCTTCTCCTCCTCCTCCCTCTTCTCCTCCTCCCTCTTCTCCTCCTCCCTTTCCTTCTCCTCTCTCGCCTCTACATCTCCTTTATTTCCCTCTGCTGTACAGATGTCCATTCGTACACCTTCCTCCTCTTCCCCTCCTCCTCCTCCTCCATCTTCCCCTGCTTGCCGTTCCTTTTCCCCTCCCCACTCATCTCTTCCCACTCCCCCCGCTCCCCCCCATGCCCACCAGGGATCAACCACTCTCCCCCATCCCTCCTCATACTCCCTCTGAATCGCTCTCAGAGCCTCTAAACACGCAGCATGCACTGCATCCATGCGCGCAGCGTAGCGGCGGGGGGAGAGAGCAACCAAGGGAGGGAGGGAGCCGCCTCTGCTGATTGTCACACAGCACTTAAACCCACCGCTGCTGCTGCTGCTAGATGTGCCGCTGCTGCTGGTGGGATTGCTGCTGCTGGTGCCACCGGCACCACCTGTGCCTGTGCCTGTGCCCGTGGTTGTGGGTATGGCGGTACCTGAAGGGGATAGGAATTCAAACACAGGGTCTCCAGCTACTAGCTGCAATGACTTGTGCTGGCAGCACCGCCCATGCTGCCCCTCCTGCCCCGGCTGCTTCTCCTGCCCCTCCTGCTCCTGCTCCTGCTGCTGGCCCTCTTTCTTCTTACTCGTGCCCACGTCCATGCCCGCACACATGCACACGGGCGAGGGGTCAATGGCGCGTTGCATTGTACAGAGCTCGAGCAGCATGGGCTTGGGGTGCTTGCCGCGCCATAGGGCGGTGGAGGAGAAGGAGAGCGGTAAGGAGGCGAGGAGAGGCGCTTCTAGGCTGAGCTGATACATGCCCCTGGGATGACGGGCGAGCAGACGCCTGGAGTGGGGAGAGGTGGAGAGGGGTGGAGAGGGGTGGAGAGGGGTGGAGAGGAGAGGGTGGGATGAACAGACTGAGATGATCTGGAGAGAGGCAGGGAGGCGAGGAGAGGCGCTCCTAGACTGAGCTGGTTCATGCCCCTGGGGTGGCGAGAGAGCAGGCGCCTGGGGGGGAGGGGAGGGAGGAAGGGGACCAAGGGAGTGAGACCTAAGGATAGCCTTTAAGAGAGGCAGTGAGGCAGGGAAATGGATTGGCGAGGAGAGGCGCTCCTAGACTGAGCTGGTACATGCCCCTCGGGTGGCGAGAGAGCAGGCGCCTGGGGAGGGTGGGAGGGTGGGGAGAGGTGCGGAGGAGCAGTGGAAGGTTGGGAAGTGTGGGTGGAACATAGAGTGAAAGACAGAGAGCACAGAACGGCTAGACGAGGGAGGCAAGAAGATATAGAGGTGGGTGGAAGAAACGCCTACACGCTTGAGAATTCTCACTCGCATGTTGCAACCTCACTTGCATGTTGCAACCTCACTCGCATGTTGCAACCTCACTTGCATGTTGCAACCTCACTCGCATGTTGCAACCTCACTTGCATGTTGCAACCTCACTTGCATGTTGCAACCTCACTTGCATGTTGCAACCTCACTTGCATGTTGCAACCTCACTTGCACTGCACCCACCTGTACACGTCCCATGCCGTGACCCCCTCCTCCTCCATCTCCCCTCTCCGCCCATCGCTCCACGATGCATCCACCACCGCCACCACTGCAGGCCCCCTCACATCACACCCCGCCAGCCAGCTCGCCGTGCTGTTCACCGCCAGCTGACAAAGTGCCGTGCTAGTGGCATTTGGTGCTGGCGCTGAAGCTTCTCTTGCTGAAACTTCCCTTGCTGAAGCTTCGTTTGCTGCCTGTTCTCCTGGGGCTGTTGATTCTAATCGTTGTGTTGGTGGTGGTGCGATGTTGTGAGGGAGCGAGAGGGATGCTGGGAGAAGCGAGAAGAGACGCATATGGGGATGATGCTTGTGCAGCAGCCTGCAGGGAGGGCGTGGGAGGGGTGGGAGGGGTGGGAGGGGCGGGAGGGGCGGGAGGGGAAGGATGGCAGAGGAGGAAGAAAACAAATGGGAGTCATTATTAATAGGACAACTCATGAGCCATAGGACAAAAGGCACAAAACGGATGAATAAATGGATGCTTGGAGAAAGGCAGATAGGTAGGATTTGAATGAATGGTCTCACTTACCTGGAGATGACAACAAGTGACGCAGGGTCCGCACCAACTGACTATGGTCGAGTCACTTCACAAAATTCTTAAAGGTGGACTTTGAATCGATGGTCTCACTTACTTAGAGATGACAAGTGATCCGGCATCTGCACCAGCAACCACCTGTCTCTTATCCCTGCTCGTCTTCCTCTGCTCGCTCTCTCTGCTGCCACTACCACCGCTGCTGCCATCCTTCTCCGCGCTCCCACAGCTGCTCGCGCCCCCAGACCAACTCGTTACAAGCACCTCTGCTATTCGATCCAGAATGTACTCGTCCCTCCTTACAGTCACACTCAGCGTCCTAGGCAACTCGTGGTTGCACTGCTGCTGCTGATTCTGGTGATGGTGCTGCTGCTGCTGGTTCTGTTGGTTCTTGCATGCATGCAATAACGGGGATGAGCCGCACGGAATGATCACCATCGACACACGCCGTTCCCCACCCTCATGCTCCTCCGTCCCTGCTCTCTCTGCTTCATCCTTCCCTCCCGTTCCTCCCGTTCGTCCTGTTCCTTTCGTCTTCATGCTCTCCTCTCCACCTTTTTCATCTCGAGCTACCCCACCATCCTCCTTCGTCCCTACTCTTTCCGCTTGTTCCTTGCCTCCCGTTCCTCCCATTCCTCCTGCTCCTCCTGTTCCTTCCGACTTCAAGCCCTCCTCGCAACCCTTGTCATCTCTAGCTGCCCCTACACCCACCACCACTCCCTCCTTTTGAGTCGATTCAAAAGTCATATGTTGAGTCGATTCAAAAGTCTTCATGCTTTCCTCGCCATCCTCAACATCTCTAGCCACCCCTACATCCACGACCACTCCCTCCCTCGAATTTCCACTATTTCCACCCATTCCTCCATCCCCCTCGCATGTCGCTACCCCTCCCCCTCCCTCTCCTATACCTCCTCCCACCCCTCCCCCTCCCTCTCCTATACCTCCTCCCACCCCTCCCCCTCCCTCTCCTATACCTCCTCCCACCCCTCCCCCTCCTTCTATACCTCCTCCCGCCCCTCCCCTTCCTTCTATAACCCTCCCCACCCCTCCCCGCCCCTCTCCTTCTGTGCCTTTGTTTCCAACAGACATTGGTACCAGCAGCTCGTGAAGAACCTTCTCAGAAGCTGCCTCCCGCCGCCTCACCCAAAAGGCCGACCAAGGAAATCCCTCGCGAGCCTCTTCCTCCTCACACACTTCTCCCGCCCCACTCCCATGCCCCTGTAAGGGCACGGCTGTAGCGGCAGCACTTGTAGCAGCACCTGACAGAGCTTTATCAGCATTGGAAGCAGTTGTGGCAGAAGCTGCGAGCTCCAGGGTATGTGATCGGGACACCGCTGCCAGCACAAGTGCCACAGCTGCTGGGGGGTTGCTGTCACACGCAGGATCGATGGATGCACACGCAGAAGTGACCTGAGGTAGAGAAGTTGGAGAGGAGAGGGAGGGAGAGGGGGTTGAGTTGACTCAGAAGCTGCTGCAGGAATGTTGTCACACGCAGAGTCGATGGATGCCCAGGCAGCAGCTACCTGAGGGAGAACAAAAGGGAATGGGAACGTGGGGAGGAGGGAGGAGGATTGGTGCGAGATAGACGTTGGGGAAACGGGGAAAGGCACGCACAACTGCACACAATTATAGGTTTGGTCTAGTCTACACAAGGTTTTGGGATGCTGCAAACTTCAAAACAGGTCCTTGAGTGACAATGGCTTGTGAAAATTACCAGTCAAAAGGCCTTCAGTTGACTGGGTGGATGAAGGGGTGGAGTGGAGTGGAGATACCTTCTTGGCGAAGGCTGGGAGGACGGCGGCAGGGAGGGAGAGGAAGGGGTCACCCCGGTAAGCAGCAGCCGTGAAGTGCGGCCGCAGAGGGACGATCCGGGGGGCTTTCTGGAGGAAGGGAGGCAGGGCGACGGAAAGATGAAAAGGAGAGATAAGAGCATTGAATGGTGGGTGGTGGTCGTGGTGGTGGTGGTGGTGGTGCGGGAGCTGGGTGGAGTGAGTGAGGGGGTTATGGGGAATACAAGAGACGCTTTTGAGAATTCTCAAAAGGGTTATGGGGAATACAAGAGATAGAATAGGGTGAGACGAACGGGAATACAATGGCTCGAGAGCCGTCGGCTTTGGGGAAAGGCGACAAGGCGGATGACGTCAGCCATTCTCCGCTCACCTCATCCGCGAAACAGTCCTCCAGCTGGCGAATAAGCTTCTGCCACGTGTCATCTGGATTCGGCTGCCCGGATTCTCCGTCTGGATGCTGATCCGTTACCGTCGCTGCGTCGCTCATCTCGCGGTTCGTCAGTATACAAGTCTATAGAGAATTATCGTAGCATCGAAATTTGGATTCTAAACACTTTTTTCCCGCCTGCACACGCGGTGACACGCGACCAACTTGATAGGCACGCGGTTACTACCTCCCTGCGCGGTTGTTCTGATGCCCGTTTTCGCGCTTTTCTCCCCTTCCTATTTAAAATTCTCAAGAGCACCCAGCGTTCTACTCAGTCGTTAAACGCATTCTCGCCGTACTAATCACGCCGTAGAAACTAAGGAGAAACGGCTTCCATTGCCTTCGTCTCGCAACGGGTCTAAGCGTTAGAGCAAGTGTCTGTGGTTGCAAGGAGCAAGTTTCAGTCTCGAGATTGACGACCTGCACCACACTGCGATTTATGGAGGAGGAAGTCAGCATTTCATACCCGGTATGCCAACATTCGACTGATTGTCTTGCGAAATACAAGGGTGTTTTTCCAAGAGTACCTTCAAAGGAGACTAGATTGTAATTTCTTTCATTTCAAGACAGCAAAACAATTTGCTGAACAACAAAACAGTAACAAGAGCTTCTAGCCAATCTAGAAGCTGTTTTTTCGCATTAAAAAGGAACATGAAAATCTCTACGAAACTTCCTCGCCGTCAAAATTGGTTTTGTGAAGAGAAGAACCTAGCGAAGGCTGTATGCAAACGGGACGTCATGATTGAATGAAAAAATGGCTTTGGCAGATCGGCTGCTATTGGTTGGAAGGCATGTTGCCAAATGATGCTAGGCCAATGGACGGTGCAGATTGATCGATAGATGAGGACGTGGGATTTGATGTGCTTCTTATAATCCCTGAAATGAAGAGAGAGAGAAGGATTGGGGCCCGGAGGAATAGAAATTGAAGTGATGGTGAGATGGGCATGGGATGAAGAAAGGTTGAACGGGCGGTAACGTGAGGGGTGGTAACATGAGGGGAGATCACGAGGGGTGGTAATGTGGACAGGCATTGGAATGCCACAGAGAATCTTTTTTGATGAATTGAGCACATTGCAGTCACTTTGTATGATGATCAGGAGTGAAGTAACAAAATTTCTACAAATGGCACAAAGATAGTGGTGAGGCTGAGAAGAAGAGTAATTGGGAAGAGAAGGAATAGATCGTGTTTCTGGAATGCTGACGATACAAAGTTGCGTGAATGAGAAGCGGGAGAGTACAATCATACTGATTTCGATTTGCACGTTATGAGATGTCTGGAGGAGTTACTTCCGCCTTGATAAGGGCAGTATTCACCTGAGACATTTGAGATGGTCGTGGGATTCTTCTGGGCAGAAAAAGCTTTCAGCTGACCGCCAGCCACGCCTGTGAGCAAAGTTCTGAAGGCTGCCCGTTGCTCCTTGGCACTGCCCGTACTCTTTAGGGCAGCTTCAAATGAAGCAAGGGCCTCAGGTGGAATGGAGAGAGAAAGGAGCACCTGGGAGGACGGAAAAGGAGAAGGGGAAGCGAAAGGGGGAAAAGGGAAGGGAAAGGGGGAAAAGGGAAGGGAAAGGGGGAAGAGGAAGGAGAGAAGGAATGTGTATGTAAAGGAATGTGTTTGTGAAGGAATGTGTTTGTGAAGGAATGTGTATGTAAAGGACGTGAGGGGATTCAGGTAAGTCGGAGTGGAGGGAGAAAGGGAGTAAAAGGGGGAGTGAGAAAGGAAGTGCGAAGTCGCTGGGGAGAAGAGAAAAACATCATGCTGTTGGTTGCATGAGGGAGCAGAAGAAAGGGTGCTGCAGTGATGCATACCTCTCTTGGAGCAGAGGTGATAGGACCCAGACGAAGGTAAATATCCCTCAACAATGCCACAATATGCGCCTGAATCCCCGCATTGGACTCCAGCGTCAGCGCCTGCACCGCCGCTGCAAACATGGTCCGGCCGACCATCTCCCGAAGCTGCGCTGGAGGCTCGGAAGCAGGGGCGGCAGGCTCGGCGAGGAGCTCCGGCATGTGCACGAGGCCGGAGTTGAAGAGCACAGCCTTGTGAGAGGCATCGCTGTCAGGCCAGTCCATGGCTGCCATTGCCACCCTGATGCACGCTGCTGCTGCCTCCGGGTGGTGCTGCAGCAGGAAGCTGTGTGGGTTGGAGAGGTAGAGGGTTACGGAAGGAAAAAGAAGAGGCACCACTGTCAGGCCAGTCCGTTGCTGCCATTGCTACGAACAGGAACAGGATACGAAGGGAGTGGGGAAAGAATAGGAAGGTTAGATAGAAGGCTCTTTTGGGTTGATTCAGATGAGACCAATGGGAGGCAGAGCCACGCAGCAACAGTAAGGAGGAGAGTGCAGATTTGAGAAGTGAAGAGGTAGAATACTTTTGAGACGTCTCAACAGTAAGTAACAGCACTAGTAAGGAGGAGAGTGCAGATTTAAGACGTCTCAAAACAAGGAGATTTGAGAAGTGAAGAGGTAGAATTGCAGCAAACTTGGGACTCGTCTCAAAACTCACTGTAACACGCTGTTAGCCGCAGTCGCCACTGAATGCATGTCCATCCGGTCGTCACCACCAGCAGCACCAGCAGCAATACTACCCACAACACCACCACCATCACTTACCAAACCACAGACCAAACTTACTGCAACAAGCTGTTAGCCGCAGTTGCCACCGAATGCATATCCATCCTCTCATCACCAGCACCAGCAGCAGCAGCAGCAGCAGCAGCACCACCACCCACAATGCCACCACCACCAGTGACTCCGGCCATGAGCGCCGAAGCCGTGGCTTGAATGGAGCTAGCTTGTAACGAGGACGACTGAGGCAATACAGGGAAGAGAGCCAGTAGGCCGCAGGTCTCTCGTGTGAGGTCCCTTAGAATCTTTTCGTTAAACAATTCATCTTTTAATCCTCCTCTCCTCTCCTTCTCACTCTCCCAACCCCCACTCACTCCACCAGCAACAGCAGTAGTAGTAGGTGCTTTCCCCCCTGCCGCTTCCCCTCCCCCTCCTCCCCCACACACGCCTTCTTGCAGGAATCGCTGCCACGTGGCGGTCAGCCATTGGTCGCAGTGGATCAGGGTCGGTGGCAGGAGCGTGCCGAGCCAGAGAGGATAGAGGCTCGGCGGACAGGCTTTGACCAATGGGAGAAGAATGAGCTTCTCCAGCAGACGGAGGTGCCGAGCCTCCATGCTAGCCACGGAATCAGCCAGTGCGGCCCGAACCTCCAGAACGAACTGCTGTTGCTGGGGCGAGACCGAACCTAGGGATTGCAGGTTCGGGACGGGAGGCTCGGGAAGAGAGAAAAAGGCTGCTGGGGCGTTTGCTGCTGCCATGCCCAGGAAGCCGTAACTGTGGGTTGGGAGGACAGAGTCGGGGGAAGGAGGAGGAGAAGGATCAGAAAAGAATTAGAGTTCATTCATTGCTCGACTGGGGGAAAACAATCCACCCACCTGTTATCCCGCACACACTTGAGCCAATTCCGCCTCATTGCCAAAGCAGCAGCCTCCCGCTGCCTCTCCCCTCCAGGTGTGTTCGAGTCGACTCAAAACACACTTGTTTTCCACGCCCTCCTGTTGTTCCCCCACCAGCCATCCCACCCACCTGTTGTCCCGCACACATTTGAGCCAATTCCGCCTCATTGCCAAAGCCATAGCCTCCTGTTGCCTCTCCCCTGCTCCCCGCCCTCCCCCTCTGCCTCCCCCTCCGCCTCCCCCTCCGCCTCCCCACGCTCCCCCGGTTCCCCCCAGCAGCAGCGGAACGCCCTCCTGCTTGCCTGACACGCCTGCCTGCCCCAGCACTGCCGCCTTCTCCTGCTGCCCAACCAGCAGCGCTGGCGCGAGCGCAGGGGGGAGGGAGGCGAGAACTGCTGGCGACCAGAGGGCGTGCAGGCAGTGCAGCAGCTGGGGAGGGGGGAGGGGGAGGGGGAGGGAGTAGTGAGGGGGGAGAGACATAACAGTGAGAAAACAGGGGGTAGACGGGCCCGCAGGAGACCGGGGGCGTGCAGTCAGTGCTGCAGCTGGGGAAGGGGGAGGGGAGAGATATGACGGTGGGAAGAAGGGAAGCGAGAAGGGAGTTAGGGCGGAGAGATATAACGGTGAGAAAGCAGGGGTGATAGCATCATGGCACCCATTTCATACAAGACTATTCAATCTTCTAACTTACTCTCAGTAGTGGCGGCATTTGATAAATTCTTAAAAACTTACTCTCAGTAGTGGCGGCACAATCCAATGCAGGTGCGGACTCACACAGTGCACCGCCCCTCCCCCTCCCCCTCCCCCACCACTCGCTCCTCTCTCCCCTCCTACCCCATCCGCCACCCCCACAAACCCAGGAGACGGCGGCGGTGTCGCCGCCACACCACCCCCTCCCGCTCCCCCTGCTCCCCCTCCTGCTCCCCCCCCTCCTGCACCACTTCCCCCGCCAACAGCAGCGCGGCGCATGATTCGCTCGAGCAGCATGGTGGTGTGGTACACGGCCCAGAAATCCGCCTCCTCCTGGGAGCCGGAGCCGGGGGCGTGAAGGAGGAGTGCTGCTAGGGCTGCCGGGGAGGAAAGGTAGCGCGCCTGCCACGTGGCATCTGCCCATTGGGCGCGAATAGGGGCCAGCAGCCACTCGACTACTGCTGCTTCCTCGCTTGGGCTGCGCTGATGAGGAGGGGGGTGAGTGTGGGGGAGGAGAGGAGAGGAGAGGAGAGGAGAAGAGAGGAGAGGAGAGGAGAGGAGAGGAGACGGGAGAGTTGGAGACAAAGAAAAGCCAAGTCCCGAAGTTGATCCCTCGAGCAGCATGGTGGTGTGGTACACGGCCCACAAGTCCGCTTCCTCCTGGGAGCCAGAGCCAGGGGCAAGCAGGAGGAGAGACGCCAGGGCTGCCGGGGAGGAGAGGTAGTGCGCCTGCCACGTGGCGTCCGCCAGTTGGGCGCGGATGGGCACGAGCAGCCATTCCACCACTGCTGCTTCTTCACTGGGGCTGCGCTGGTGGGGAGGGGTGGGGGGTGAGGGGGGAAGCGGGAAAGATAGAGGGGGGAGGCAGAAGGAGAGGGGAGGAGAGGGAGAGGGGAGGAGAGGGGAGGAGAGGGGAGGAGAGGGGAGGAGAGGGGAGGAGAGGGGAGGAGAGGGGAGGAGAGGGGAGGAGAGGGGAGGAGAGGGGAGGAGAGGGGAGGAGAGGGGAGGAGAGGGGAGGAGAGGGGAGGAGAGGGGAGGAGAGGGGAGGAGAGGGGTGGAGAGCATGTTGAGTCAACTGAAACAGGAAGGCAGCCAGTAGGGTTCAGGAGGAGAGAAAAGGGGGGAATGCTGGGGTGGGGGCGGATGGAATTGTGACAAGAGAGGAGCAAACTTTAGTCTCTCACCCTTGTGAGTGACTTCTGAGAATTCTAAAAAATCACTCACAATTTGATCACTCACCCTGTAGCAGCAGCAGCCACGAGCAGCAGCGCTTTAGCTAAGGGAAAGATTTTTCCATGCACCACTGCGCCTGACTGGGTCTGCTGCATTTACACCTCAATCACTCACTCCCTCACTCACTCCCTCACTCCGTCACTCGCTCCCTCACTCACTCACCCTGCAGCAGCCGCCACCAGCAACAGCGCCTCAGCGAGTAGAATGATCTCCCCATGCAGTACCGCGCCTGACTGAGTTTGCTGCACGCGCTGCACTGCTGCCTGCTGCTGCTGCCGAATGTTCATCACCTGATCCACCATCGCCTGGAGAGAGGATTAGGGGGGGTGAGAGGGAGGGTACGAGGGAGTGGGAGAGGAGGGGGAGGGAGCAGAAAAAAAAAAAACTTTGACAAGTCTCAATAAAAAGAAAATGAAACTTCTGAGGCGCCCTGAAGGACAGGTATGCTGCTCTTGTTGCATAGCAGTGGGAGTTGAACATTGCGACTTTTGAGGCGCCTCAAAAGTCGTCTCATGTCTCGCGGTTTTTATGTGGGAGTTGAACATTGCGCTGACTCATGCAACGCAGGCGCTTGCAACTCCTCCTCTGTGTCTAATGGCGAGCTTAAAATCAACTACTGCAGCTCCTCAGAAACCCAAACCCTAAACCTGCCACTGCCTCGAGGTGACGCCCCAAACCCAATAATGCTGTGTGGTACACCTTGAGCATGGGCACGAGTGCCACGTCAGCAGTGCGCACCACTCTGAGGATGGATGTGCAAACTTGCAGGCGAGGCAGGCAGGTGGCCGAGCTTGCCTCGCTGCTTAAAGAAAACACTAGAAACCAACCACACCACACAGCCGCACACACATACACCCACCCACACACCCCCACACCCACACACTCACCCACCCACACACACACCCACCCACCCACCCACCCACCCACCACACAGAGCCACACGCACACTACGACCGTTTCTCCCACCTTAAGCATTGGTACAAGCGCCACGTCAGCAGCGCGCGCCACTCGGAGGATGGATGTGCACACTTGCAGGCGAGGCAGGCGGTCCTCACTGCGCTCTGGCCGGAGCATGGGCTCCACTCCCTGGTGGGGCGAGGGGGAAGGGGCGCGAGGAGGGGAAGAGACAGGCGGATGGGGTGGCTAGTCAACATAACTTCACTGCAGGCGAGGCAGGCGGTCCTCACTGCGCTCTGGGCGCAGCATGGGCTCCACTCCCTGGCAGGCACAGGAAACGGAGAGAGGAAAGGGGCGAGGGGAGAGAGTGGGAGGGGCATGAGGCTCTTCTTAAGGCGAGGCAGGCGGTCCTCGCTGCGCTCTGGCCGGAGCATGGGCTCCACTCCCTGGTGGGGTGAGGGGCGAGGGAAGAAAGGGGGGAAGACAGGAGAGAGGAGGGAACGGGAGGAGGGAGAGGTGACTGTTGAGGCTTGAGTCGACTGACAAGGGTCCTCACTACACTCTGGGCGCAGCATGGGCTCCACTCCCTTGTGGAGCGAGGGGCGAGGGGCGAGCGGCGAGGGGAGGAGCTTCTTGAGATAAAACGAAAAACACCCATCAGGTGAGTGGGTGGCAAGGCACTCATAATCTCAAAGAGCTTGGGAATGACAAGGGCAGTAGCGATTTGTGAGGCACCAAAGAAACCAAAAAAAAAGAGCCCTCCACGGAAGTGAGCGACTCAGAATACATACCAGAGGAGAGGGCGGCAGGGAGCTGAGGAGCTCGAACAACTCGGGAATGACGAGGGTGGCAGCAGGAAAGGAGTGCTTGAGGAAGGGGCTGCGCGTGGTGACTTAAAGAAGGGAATGAGCAGCTCAGACTACATACCAGGGGAGTGGGTGGCAGGGTGCTGAGGAGGTCGAAGAGCTTGGGAATGACGAGCGCGGCTGCGGGCGGGGAGTGCTTGAGGAAGGGACCCAACGCGTCCAGCAGGTGGGCGTGCAGCTCTATTAACACGGGGTCGCTCCATTGCACACACAACAGGCGCTGTAACACACCTGCTTGAGGAACGGGGAAAATGGCAGTGAGGGTTGAGAGCAACGAGAGGGAAAAGAGTGCTTGAGGAAGGGAACCAGGGCGTCCAGCAGGTGGGCGTGCAGCTCTATTAACACGGGGTCGCTCCATTGCACACACAACAGGCGCTGTAACACACCTGAAAAGGGTCGGGAATATCAGTGAGGATGGAAAGTGATGGGAGGCGGAAGAGTGTTTGAGGAAGGGACCTAAGGCGTCTGGCACGATGCTGCCACAAGCACCAACTAACCCCTCACACACGTTGCGCATACTTTGCTGTTAGCTGCCCCACTCACCCGCTACAATGAACCCCAGGTCTTTCAGCGAGAATGGCAGGGTTGGTGGAGTGAGCAGCAGCTGACCCCTCTCTCGCATCCCACATACTCGTTGTTAGCTGCCCCACTCACCCTCTACAATGAGCCCCAGCCCAGGTCTTCAGCGAGAATGGCAGGTTTGGAGGGAGCAGCAGCTGCGCCACAAGCACCAACTGATCCCTCACACCTCACATACTCCATACAAGCATCTCCACTCACCCTCTACAATGAGCCCAAGGTCGTCAGCGAGAATGGTGGGGTTGGTGGAGTGAGCAGCAGCTGCTGCCATGACCGCATCGGGCACGGCAGTCATCACCGCATCTTCTAACATGCGCGCTCCCTCCAGTACTGCCACCACCTGATGGGGGGGGCGGCGAAGGTGGTGGGGGGATGGAGGGAGAAAAGGGGGGAGAGAGGGGGAGAGAGGGGGAGATAGGGGGAGATAGGGGAGAGATAGGGGGAGATAGGGGGAGATAGGGGGAGATAGGGGGAGATAGGGGGAGATAGGGGGAGATAGGGGGAGATAGGGGGAGAAAGGGGAGATAGGGGGAGATAGGGGGAGATAGGGGGAGAGAGGGGGAGATAGGGGGAGATAGGGGGAGATAGGGGGAGATAGGGGGAGATAGGGGGGAGATAGGGGGAGATAGGGGGAGATAGAGGGAGATAGGGGGAGATAGGGGGAGATAGGGGGAGATAGGGGGAGAGAGGGGGAGAGAGGGGGAGATAGGGGGAGATAGGGGGAGATAGGGGGAGATAGGGGGAGATAGGGGGAGATAGGGGGAGATAGGGGGAGATAGGGGGAGATAGGGGGAGATAGGGGGAGATAGGGGGAGATAGGGGGAGATGGGGGGAGATGGGGGGAGATGGGGGAGATAGGGGGAGATAGGGGGAGATAGGGGGAGATAGGGGGAGATGGGGGGAGATGGGGGGAGATGGGGGGAGATGGGGGGAGATAGGGGGAGAAAGGGGGAGATAGGGGGAGATAGGGGGAGATAGGGGGAGATAGGGGGAGATAGGGGGGAGAGAGGGGGGGATAGGGGGAGATAGGGGGAGATAGGGGGAGATAGGGGGAGATAGGGGGAGAAAGGGGGAGATAGGGGGAGATAGGGGGAGATAGGGGGAGATAGGGGGAGATAGGGGGAGATAGGGGGAGATAGGGGGAGATAGGGGGAGATAGGGGGAGATAGGGGGAGATAGGGGGAGATAGGGGGAGATAGGGGGAGATAGGGGGAGATAGGGGGAGATAGGGGGAGATAGAGGGAGATAGGGGGAGATAGGGGGAGATAGGGGGAGATAGGTGTTAGGATTATATATTGTAGCATGCTAAGCACATGTGACTGTACACCAATTGTGGTGTACAGTTGGGTTGGGACTACACCCAACATTGGGTGTAGTCTTGCACTTTGGGGTGCCAATCCACCCAATTGTGGTGGAGCCCCCAAAATGCAACCCTCTTGACTTTTGGCAACCTCACTTCCCAACTGAGGTCACCACAAGCCAAGTGGGCCTAGGGTTGCCTCACTTCTTCAAAGTGTGGGCAACCCAACCCACCTCACCTATGGTTGCCTCACTTCCACAAGTGAGGTCAACCCAACCATAGGTTGAGTCCATCCTTCTCCTCCAACACTCCCTTCCAACTATGTATGCTAGGTTTCTCCTCTAATCGATTTACTTGTTCAATTTACATTCTTCACAATAGGGGGAGATACGGGGAGATAGAGGGAGATAGGGGGAGATAGGGTGTTTGACCTCCTATCTGCCATGACAGCAGCAGGCACAGCACAGCAGTCATCACCGCGACTTGTAACATGCGCGCTCCCCTCCAACACTGCCACCACCTGGATGCAGAAAGGAGATGTTTTGAGACGTGTCCAACACTGCCACCACCTGGATGCAGAAAGGAGGGAGAAGGAGGGGAGATCGGGTGTTGACTTCCTAGCTACTATGACCGCATCAGGCACAGCAGTCATCACTGCGCCTTCTAGCATGCGCGCCCCTCCAATACTGCCACCACCTGGCAGACGCGTGGGAGGAATGCCAGGGTTCAGGGAGGAGGAGGGAGCAGAAATAATTTTGAGACGTCTCAAAACATCTCTTTTATCACGAGGAATGCCAGGGTTCAGGGAGGAGGAGGGAGCAGAAATAATTTTGTTTTGCCTCATGAACAGAGGTTGAGCATGCATGCATGGCCAGCAGTTGCCATGACAACATTGGGCACAGCAGTCACCACAACAGCTTCTAACATGCGTGCTCCGTCCCACCAACACTGCCACCACTTGGTTGGCGGGGGTGGGGGGAAGGGAGATAACCTGCTAAGGTGGTGGTTGCTTGTGTAAATCCCAGCGACATTTGGTGCAGTTACCAGTTCGATGCCATGATGTGGGGCATAGCTGCCCTCACCACGTCTTTCAACATGCATTGTTCTCATGCCCCATGCTTTGTGTTGTGCTCCATGCTCCATGCTCCATATCCCATCCCCCATTCTTTCCCTCCCAGAGCTTGCCTTAGGGGGTGGGGGAGCAGAGGTGGCGGCAGCAACTGCGGCTTCGATGCGAGAGGCCACCTTTGATGCTGCTATGAGCGGCTGCTGCTGTGTCACCAACCGCACCACGTCCATCTGAAGGAGAAAAAGTGAGTGGAAGCAGGGCAGAGGGGAGAGGGGAAGGGGGTTATTACTACGTTGCTCCATCACCAGACGAATGACGTCCATTTGAAGCGGCAAAGGGGGGGAAGAGACAGGGCAGCAATCAGACTCCCTTTTGCTCTCAGTATGCCATGTGCATTCAGTCTCCCCATTGAAGTTGAGTCGCCACCTCTGCACACTGATTAACACTCTCCCACACACTCACCAGTCGGCTCCTGTACTGGGCACCCCACTCTTGGTAAAGCCCCTGCTGCCAACCCTCCCCGCCCTCCTCCCCATCCTCGCCCTCCCCTGGGCGTCTAGGAAGGTGATCTGCAACCACGTCCAGCAGCCTCAGGCAGAAATCGGGCGGTGCGCACTGCAACCCAGTAGCCTCCCTGCAGTGTGGAAATCACTTTTGAGAATTCTCGCCTGCAGAATTCTCTCCCTGCAGTCTTTCCATATAGCGGGCAGTGCGCAGTGCAACCCAGTAGCCTCCCTGCAGTGTCCACTCACCAATCGGCTCCTGTACTGGGCGTAGTCCCCACTGTTGGTGAACTCCTCCTGCCACCCCCCATCCTCATCCTCCCCATCCTCCCCCTCCCCTGGGCGCCTAGGCAGGTGATCTGCAACCACGTCCAGCAGCCTCAGGCAGAAATCGGGCGGCACGAGAATCACAGCAGCGCGCTTGTTGGCCTTTCCTCCGCTCGTGCTCTGCGCCGATTCCCTCAGTAACACCTGAGGGCAGGGGCAAAAGGGCAGTGTGGGGGAAATGGGGCGGCACAAGAATCACTGTGGCGCACTTGTCCTTTCCGCCGCTCGTGCTCTGTGCTGATTCCCTCAGTAAGACCTGGGGAAGTGGTTGGGAGTTGGGTGGGTTGAGAGGGGTGAAGAGGGGCGGAGCGGAGCCATGAGAGCTGGATTGGCGTTCAGGCTTCAACAGTAGGTGGAGTACAGGAGTGAGCCATGATAGAGGTAATTGCGTGCTAGGTGTTTGCTAAGTGCGCTAAGTGTTTGCTAAGTGTGCTAAGTGTGTGTGGGTGGGGAGGGGAGCTCACCAGCCAGAGTTGCAGCGCCAGGGCGTGCAAGGAGAAGCACCTGCACTCAAAGAAGCGAAGCATCTGCCAGGCACGGACGAGAGAGGGAAGGGGCAGCAGGAAGAAGGAGAAAATGGGCACCAATTCACACACACACCCCACACCCACACCCCCTCACACACACACACCCCTACACCCCCTCTCCCCCCCCCCCCCACCCCACACACACCCACCCACCGTGTGGAAGAACTTGGCGTATCGGGAGTCATCCTGCTGAGCAGCTCTTTCAAATTCGACGGGGCAAACACCACCATCGCCTCACACAGCCGCTCTGCAAACGCCACCTCCCCCTCATCCACCTCCCCCGCCCCACCCCCCTCTCACCTTGCTCCCCTCTTTCTCCCCTCACTCTCCCGCTGGTGCCTTTGCTATCTGGGGAATACGAGGTGACTTTTCAGTCGACTCAAAAGCAGAAGTCGCCTTGGTGCATTTGCTATCTAGAGAATACTTTCGAGTCGACTCAAAAGCAGAAGTCACCTTGGTGCATTTGCTATCTAGAGAATACTTTCGAGTCGACTCAAAAGCAGAAGTCACCTTGGTGCATTTGCTATCTAGAGAATACTTTCGAGTCGACTCAAAAGCAAAAGTCACCTTGGTGCATTTGCTCTCTAGAGAATACTTTCGAGTCGACTCAAAAGCAGAAGTCACCTTGGTGCATTTGCTATCTAGAGAATACTTTCGAGTCGACTCAAAAGCAGAAGTCACCTTGGTGCATTTGCTATCTAGAGAATACTTTCGAGTCGACTCAAAAGCAGAAGCCACCTTGGTGCATTTGCTATCTAGAGAATACTTTCGAGTCGACTCAAAAGCAAAAGTCACCTTGGTGCATTTGCTCTCTAGAGAATACTTTCTCACCGTGCGGAATGAAAGACCTTACCACCTGAACTGAGAGAACCCACCGTGTGGAAAAACTTGGCGTATCGGGAGTCATCCTGCTGAGCAGCTCTTTTTAGATTCGACGGGGCAAACGCCACCATCGCCTCACACAGCCGCTCTGCAAACGCCACCTCCCCCTCATCCACCTCCCCCGCCCCCCTCCTCCCCTCGCGCCCCCCCCTGCTGCCATCCCGCCCGCCTGCCCCCCTGCTTCCCTTGGAGAGGAAGCAGGGGTGGAGCCTGTGGAGGCAGTGATGCGATCGAGAGAGGCGTCAGCTGCAGAGACGAGGGAGTCGGCCACTGATGTCATGGCGGCATTGAATGCATCCTGGTCGTCTGAAGGGGAGCGCCTGAAGACGCACAGGGCACAGAGGAAGAGAGAGGTGCAGTGCACATAAGGGGATCGAGAGAGGCGTCAGCTGCAGAGACGAGGGGGTCTGCCACTGATGTCATGGCGGCATTGAATGCATCCTGGTCATCTGAAGGGGAGCGCCTGAAGACGCACAGGGCACAGAGGAAGAGAGAGAGAGGTGCAGTGCTCATAAGGGGATCGAGAGAGGCGTCAGCTGCAGAGACGAGGGGGTATGCCACTGATGTCATGGTGGCGTTGAATGCATCCTGGTTGTTCGAAGGAGCTCGCCTGAAGCAGCAGAGGGAACGGGGGGGCAGTGCACGTGAGACGATTGAGGCAGGCAGGCAGCAGTGGGAAGTCCGCGGCGCGACTGATGTCATGGTGGCATTGAAAGCCTCCTGATTGTACAAAGGAGAGGGCAGCAGTGGGAGAGGGCAGCAGTGGGAGAGGGAGCGGCGGACAGCGGAGGTGGGAATGGGAATGGAAAGGGTGGTGGACAACCCTTAGAATCACCTCTTAAACTCACCTCTTAGAATCACCTCTTAAACTCACCTCTTAGAATCACCTCTTAAACTCACCTCTTAGAATCACCTCTTAAACTCACCTCTTAGAATCACCTCTTAAACTCACCTCTTAGAATCACCTCTTAAACTCACCTCTTAGAATCACCTCTTAAACTCACCTCCAAACAAAGTATCTGAAACCCTGAAAGATTCAGGTTTCGAGTCAAATATCAAATGCCCTAACAACATCAACCGACCAACCCTAGGTGAAGCGCTCAGCCTTGTTTCAACCTTACCTACGCCACACACTGTGTCTCAGCCCTTCCACACCCACCTTCCTTGTCACAACCCTGAGGCACCCACCTGACAGCGGAAGAGAAAAAAGTAGCAGGTGGCATCCGCCCCTAGAAACGACCCCTTACGGCCCCAACCATTTGAATTCCAGTGCCCCTCCTTTCCACTCCACTGCACCGCACTGCCCACCCACTCCTGTTCGAAATCCAGCCCTTATCTATCGTCCACCCACCTGGCCGCCAGGTGCTTGAAGAAATCCGCTGCTCCCATTCGGAAATCAGGCGAACCAAGGAGGAAACCGCAGCTGTAGGAGAGGGGAGACATAGTCGATCCATGGGAGAAAGAAAGGGGAAATACTTCAGAGAAAATCTTCCCAGTTCTAATACCCTACAAAATCAACACATCCAGCACGCCCGCAGAGGCGACATGGGCACAGGCGCCCATTCCACAAGCGCTGACAGACCCACAGTCACAAACCCTGAACCCCTAAACTTCTCTAAAACCCCAGAGTTCAGTCATCCAAAAGACCAGCAGAGGCAAGAGCACGCATAGGCACAGCCTCTGCATACGCGCCCAGTGCTGCCAGGCCCACTGTCACATGAGTACTCCCACTGCCCACTTTACATATAAAACCCTAAAACCCGAAACCCCGACATTCATGCATACAACAAACCAACAGAGGCAAGAGCAGGCTTACGCTCACAGAACTGCCTTGCTGTCTCATGAACAGCACTCAAGACATAAACCCTTAAACTCTGACACTCACGAATTCAGTAGACCAGCCGAGGCAAGCGCAGGCACAAGCGCCCACTCCGCCTACACCCCCAAGGTCTGCTGTCAAAAAATCACCCACCTTAATCCCGAATACTCACGCATTCAGCAAACCAGCAGAGGCGATAGCAGGCACAGGCGCCCACTCTGCATACGCTCCCAGTGCTGCCAGGCCTGCTGTCACGGCTGCTGCATGCTGCCTCGCTGCATCCACATTGCTCTGCTGCATGTCCGCCAGTGCTGCTGCGAAGTTGGAATCTAGGAGCTGCAGAGAAAAACAAGGGTTGCTAGATCAGAATGAGGTTACATTCTCATATCGACATTCGTGTCTCAATGCCCGTTTTCCCGAGTCACGTCTAAATGTTTAGTCTACTTCGTGTCCCAAAAGCGTGAATGAATCGCGACACTGTGCGACCAAGCTACATATACAGTTGGGCGCGTCTGATTGGGTGGGGTGAATGAATCGCGACACTGATTGGTGGTTTTTTTCCCGGTTGAACTTTTCATTGTGTGGGGTGTCCAGGTGCATGTGGTAGGATCGGGCATTTTGAGTCGCGTGCGATTTTTGGACAGTGATGAGTCATCTTGTAGCTCGTCCGCGACGTCAGCGTGTTCCACGCTGATCTATGTATAATACAGCACTGTTCGCACTAATGCGACGCGTGATTGTGACACAATACAGTTTATGCTGTTTTTCTGCGTCACAAAGTGATTGAGACACAAATGTTGATATGAGAATGTACCCTGACTAGCCTAGGGACGAGTGAGAATGCAATTTTTTTGGGAAAAGAGGGCCAAGGCAAAGCACGGACCGAGTAGAGGAAGGGGAGAATCTGCGGCAGAGTCGCTGTAAGGCCGAGCAACAGCTGACGCCTCCTGTTGCCTGATGGAGGTAGCAGGGGCAGGGGAGAGGGCAGGGGGGGAGGAGATTGGCTTTTGAGGCACCTCAAAGTCAACTAGCAGGCTAGGTGGCTGCAAGGCCAAGAAGCAGCTGACGCCTCCTGTCGCCTGGTTGAAGGGGGCAGGCATGGTGGTGGTGGGAGGAGAACAGAACAGAGGAAGTGGTTGAGATGAGACGACAAAGAAAGGGGCAATTAGCCGGTTACAATTCTGACCTATCCTTTTTCTCATGTTTTTGTAAGGCAAGTTGATAACAGGGGGGGAACATGCACTTCCTTGCACTGAACGAAGGGAAGGAAAGTACGACTGCACACTTGTCTTCTATATCCTCGTTATAGACTGTTTTCTTCCATATCCTTGCTGTTGACACAGTTACTATCCTCGTTGTAAATAGTCACTTGCTCTTATGGTCTATCACCTTCTATATCCTCGTTATGGACTGTCACGTCCTCTGGCACAAACTGCAGCACAAGAGCCACCGTCTCTGCCTGCCAGCCAGGGAGGGGGGGAGAGGGGGAGGGGAGTCGAGGGGACGGTGGTAAGGGTAGGGATTGCCAGTGAAAATCAATGTGAGGGTGCGAAGTGTGCATGTGGTGGGGGAAGGGCGGGTTGGGGGGTGTGGCGTGTGGGAAAGGAGGGGGGGAGAAGTGTGAGGTGGCATCACGGAATAAGTGACAGAAAAAGAAGTGGCAGAAGCAAAAGAACAGAGTATGGGATAAGTTTCAACTCACTTACATAACCTATTCCCCCCCTTCCCCACGCTCTCTCCCCCCTTCCTTCCTCCCCGATTCCTTCCTCCCCGCTTCCTTCCTCCCCCCTTTCTCCTGACTCACATGGACGGGGCTGGCAGCAGAGAGAGCAAGCAGAGACGGCAGCATCTCCTTCCAGAGGTCCGACCCCTCATGCTTCACAATCTGGTAGAATGGGGAGAAAGGGAAGAGAAAATGGATAGGAAACGGGGAGGAACAAGGGGTGAAACGTCTCTGCACAGGTAACAATCCCCTAGCACGGATGGATCCGACCCCTCATGCTTCATCACCTGCAGGAGTGGGGTAGGAGAGAGGGTTAAGTAAGGCCAAGGGTTAAGCAGCAACAACAGCAGCAGCAACAGCAGCAGCAGCAGCAGCAGCACAAAACACCAGCAGCAGAAGTTGCACCAGCATGACAGGAACAAACGACTCACATCAGCCAGCAGGGCAGCTGCCTTGCTGCGGATGGACCAGGGCTCGCCAGCAGTGTCGGCACAGCGCCTGAGCAGATCAAACGCGTACACCACCCCAACAGCAGCAGCAGAAGCAGCAGCAGCAAGCCACGCCACAGCAACAAGCGACTCACATCAGCCAAGAGGGCAGCCGCCTTGCTGCGGATGGACCAAGGCTCGCCAGTAGTGTCAGAGCAGCGCCTGAGCAGGTCGAACGCGTACACTGCCAGCCTGCGGCGCTCGTCCGCAGGGAACTGCTGCCACTTGTTGCGCGCCACGTTCTTATTGCCGGTGGGGGGGGGAAGGGGAGGAGGGGGAGAAATGTGTAGGAGGACGGAAAGGAAAAAATCGGGTTTGGAGATGTCTAAAAACGTGTACATTGGCAGCCTGCGGCGCTCGTCCGGGGGAGACTGCTGCCACTTGTTGTGCGCCACGTTGTAATTGCCGGTGGGGGGGAAGGGGGAGGAGTATGGGAGGGAGGGCAGGACGGAAGGGTAAGAGAGGTATCAACAGAGAGTAATGGGTGATGAGTCATGGGTCATGTGCCACGGAGTCATGGGTCATGGGTCATGGTAATGGGTCATGGGTCGAAGGGTCATGGGGTCATGGGTCATGGGTCAAATGGTCATGGGGTCATGGGTCATGGGTCATGGGTCATGGGGTCATGGGGTCAGGGGGTTATGGGTTCTGGTTCATGAGTCATGGGTCATGGGGTTGGGTCATGGGTCATGGGGTCACGGGTCATGGGGCCACGGGTCATGGGTCATGGGCCATGGTCACGGGTAATGGGAAATGGGCCATGGTCAGGGGTAGTGGGAAATGGGCCATGGGTCACGGGTAATGGGAAATGGGCCATGGGTCACGGGTAATGGGAAATGGGCGGCGGCATACCTGCAGCAGCTGGAAGGCGAATAGGCGGGCATGCTCGGGCTGACCGCCGTTCACCAGGTGAGCTGCTAGGGACGCCTGTCGGTGCGGCTCCTCCTCTGTCTTGAGCTGCGTGCGGGGAAAGAAGACAGGTGGAAACGAGAGTTCAGCGGTTGAAGAGGTGGGGCAGGCAATGTGATTAGGCTGCGCGTCCTGCTCGACCAAGCGACCTGGCGTGCTCGGGCTGATCGCTGTTCACCAGGTGAGCTGCCAGGGACGCCTGTCGGTGTGGCTACTCCTTTGTCTTTTGCTGTGTGCGTGGAAAGGAGGGTTCAGGTGTTGACAGGGTGGCAGGGAACGTGATTACGATGCCTAACCAAACCCTGTGCTCTGGCCTGACCAGAGATGGGAAGACCGTGGACTTGAGAGGGAGGACGGAACGCATTGGTTGAAAGAGAGCCAGCACAATCAGGAGTGCTGTTTAAGGTCAGGATCTTCGGAGATAGTACCGAGAGGAGCAGCACCGTCGGATAGCAGGCTGCAGTCAGGACCCGGTAATTCAGCAGCCCACCTGATCGACTCTAAACTGCCTATTCAACAAGTCCACTGAGCACAAAGTTCACCGTTGTCAGGAATTCGGGTGAGCTTTGAGCCGACTCGAAACGCCCACTGAGCAGTGATGATCGATCTTTCGAGGAATTCCAGGTGACCTTTGAGTCGACCAAAAACGTCTACTCAGCAGCTATGATCGTCTTTATAAGGAGTTCTAGGTGACCTTGGAGACGTCAAAACGTCTACCCAACAGCGATTATCACCTTCTCGAGAAATTCCGTGGCCGCAGCACGAGACGCCTGATCCGTCCGCCAATCAACGGCGACAGCGAGGGCCTGCAGCACCGCCTGGAGCTCGGTCGCCTCGTCCATTGCCGTATCCCCGCTACAAGCCGATCCTAGTATAAACGTATGACTAATCGGCTGTATGCAAGTGCCCGCAGCACTGCCTAGTGCGCTGCTGCTTCGCCCATTTCGTGTGTTATTAAATGAATTCGCAGTTCGCTATCACCACCCCGAACACGGTGTTATTTCCGCATTTTCTTATGACCGACCGAAAGCAGCCTTATTGCGAATCCATTCGGGTCGGACCCTTGGACAACGAACCGAATCCAGAATCTGATGCTAACTGCCCCTGTGAGGTGAAGGGACTTGCAGACTTCGGCTGGCAAGGGCTGAGAGAATGACTACCATTCATCGAATCCTGCACCACTCACATCGCCCTGACAATTTCTAGAACGCTGCGAATCCTCCATCTCGCAGCACAGCAAACAGGAACCCTGAACCTGAATGCCGCGGTTCTGCTGAATTTGTTCCTTGTTCAGGAAAGTGTACACTGTCGGCTTATGATTTGTTCCACCATTGTATTGTCGTCTTGTGTTTTGATCGCTCGAAACACCCTGATATGATAGTGGAAAATAGCCCATGACCATCCAGTTTTAGTTAAAAACACTGTAGAGATACCGTCACGCGTTGCTCATTTATCTAAGCTACTTGCATTAACATACACATGTACGCTATTTCATACTTGATACTTATATTCGTGTCCTGGTGGCATGTATATCGTGCCTCGTTTAGATAAGCTCAAATGGCGTGAATTGGAAGCAACGCAGGCTCCATGCCATCAGACGTCGCCGTCAAGTTCGCCAATGTCGAAGGAACCGCCTGGGCGCTCTTCTCTCTATCCGTATCTCTGTGATTGATGGCTTTGCTCATGGCATGTCAAAACCCGTGTCGCCACGTCGTTATCTCACGCCTCCCAAACCTAGCTCGATTTTGTACAAGCCAAGCCTGCCCTTTGGTTTGGTTGCATGATTTCTTGTTCGAGCTAGGTGTTTCTCTCGGTTCGGTCGGGGGGGACAGCCTTGAATTTGTTTGTCTGGTGACGTCAGTGGTCTCCACACCGTTCACCCTCTAGCTGGCTGTGCCTCCAAAAATGCAACCACCCAAGCCATCATAAAGGGGCCAAAGTTCCCAAACCAACCATAATCGTCCATCCGAACCATGCTTGCTGATTTGTCGCAGCCATCCGAGCCGAGATTGGTTTGGGGGCAAACCAAAACGAAAGACAGCAAGGGATGAATGAGCATTGAGCAGACAAACAGAGAACCCTAGGGAGGAAGAGATGGGATGACGAGGCATTCTCCAGTGCAGTTTCCTGCTTTCAAGTTTAGGTTCCAGCTTCCTAGTGCTTCCTAGTTTAGGAGTGTGCTTCCTAGTGCTTTTGAGCATTTCTCTCTTCTTGCTTTCCCCCGCGAATCTGCGGTGTTCGTTTCGATGTCTTAGCATTTCGCTTCAGCAAATAAAGTAGAAATATCAGACACTCGCAACAAGATAAACGACGTCGCGTCATGGAAGCAGCAGTAGCGCGCCTACGGGAGCTGTTTCCGAAGGTGGACGTCAGGCTGCTGAAGGCGGCGATTCGCGAGCACGGCACGTCACCGGAAGGCATAAGCGAGGCCATTCAGTACCTGATGGACGAAGCGCTTTCGGATTCCTCGTCCTCCGACGGAGAAATTTCGGACAAGGAGGACGATGTCGAGGATACCAATACGGTAACAAGAATTGTTACGGTCTGCTATGCCTGTTTTTATCTCCTCTGTTCTCCTCGTTCCCCTACTATTTCTGTTTCCCGTTTATTCAAGCTGTTGACCATTTTAGGTTATTCCGCTTGCAGGCTTCTACCGGGTTCCCACCATTAGGGAGTGTTGATGGACACGAATCGTCGCCCCCCATTGACAAGAAGTCCTTTGACGAGACCCTCAATAACGAGGATCCATCTGGCGAAGCCGTTAACGAGGAGTCCTTTTTCGAAGCTGAGGAGAATCTCCCCGCGTCGAGAGCTCCTCTGCAAGATACAGCGGCCTCCAGCGACGAGACTCTCCTGCTCGGCTTATCGGAAACACCAGTGATGACGATTCCGCCAGCCTCTTCAAACTTTTACAGTGACAATAGTGTTGATGAGGAAGGAGAGAAACACGATGAGCAGGACTTTTCCGCACTCGTCGCTACTGGCCAAGGTCCAGACAGCATCAGCACCACCGACGCCACCGGCGCCACGGACACCATCGGCACCACCAGCACCATCGATACCACCGGCACCGTCGGCACCACTGGCGAAAGATCAGCAGACTCGTTAGAAGTACCTCTGACGGTTTCTTCTGATAGCGAAGAATTTGGAGAAGCCGTGGTGGGAAGTGCACCGCCGTTGGATGCGTCGCTGGAAGAATCTGTGGACGGCGCAGATCAGGTTTCAGAGAGTGAGAAAGAAGATGCTGTTGACGGGGATAAGGCTGATGGTGGTCAAGCTGAGGGTGATTCTATCGAGGGTGCCGATGCTGTCGTACGCGTGGCTGGAGTCGTTGTGATTAAGCCGGGGGCGAAATTGTTTGCGGATGCTGCTGATGCGGCTGGCGCTTCTGGTGCTACTGATGGGACTGAAGAAGAAGAGGAGAAAGCGGAGGAGGAGAAGGCGGTCGTTGTGAAGGAACTCGAGAGTGAACCCGAGAGTGAACCCCAACAGGCGGATAGAGAGAGCAAAGGCGGTGCTGGGGTGGGTCTAGAAGAGATTCAGGGCGAGGCCGAGCAGGCCGAGACGCACGAGGCCGAGCAGGCCGAGACGCACGAGGCTGAGCAGGCCGAGACGCACGAGGCCGAACATGTAGAGGAGAAAGGAGAGGCGATGGACGAGGCTGTAGCGGTGCTGCAGGGGAGCAAGGGCGGGACGGAGGTCTTGCAGCAGGAGGAGGTGAGGCAGAAGGAAGTCGCGATTGAAGGAGAGGAAGAAAAAGAAGAAATGCAAGAGAAGCAAGAGGATGAGCGTGAGCAAGAGGAGATAGATGAGGCGCAAAAGGAGCAGGAAGAGAAGGAGGAAGAGTGCGAGCATGTGGATGTGCCAGAGAGCCTGGTGAACAGCTGGAGCCGATCCTTCGTGGAGGTCGAAGTCAGTACCATCGCCCACCACGTGGCCTCCACCCAAGACGCCAAATCCCGCCTCGACGCGCAGCTAGCTTCCGTCCAAGGGCTCCTCGCAGAGGTGGAGCGCGCCGAGCAGCAGGCAGTCGCAGCTGAATCCGCTCTCTCCCACGCTGGCGAGGCTGACGTTGCCGAAGCTGAGAACGTGCTTCGGCACGTGGTTCGGTCGCAGCAGGCTCTGGAGATCCGCGCCGCGCAGGTGTTTGGGCACCGGGCGCAGCTGCAGGAGGATTCTAAGGGGCTTAAAGCCCGGGTCGAGGCGATTCAGGGTCAATTTGCGGAGGTGGAGAGGCAGGTGGATGAGTTCAGAGTGGTGCTGGAGGGTAGGCTGGAGCGAGCTAAGGAGAGGATTTGCGAGTTGGAGAGGAGGAGGAGGGAGAGGGAAGAGGCAGGGAAGAGGAAACTGGAGGGGGCGGAGAGGGAAATGGGGCGGGTTCTGGGGGAGGTGCCGGGACTGGAGAGGCAGGAGAGGGCGTGTGCTGAGCTGGCAGACGCGCTGGTGGCACGTCACCACGAGGCTGACGTGTTGGAGGGACAGCTGGCGGTGCTGCGGGAGGATTTGGCGGCGCTGGTGAGGGGCGTGGGGCGGCTGCCCGGGCTGCCTGGGGAGGCAGAGGAGGATTTGGGGTACTCGTTCCTGAGTGAAGGAGGGCAGGAAGATGGTGAAGGTGAGTGGGGCCTGGGATGCATGTGGTTAATAGTGGGGTGAGTGGGGCGGCTGCGTGCGGCCAGGCTGCCTGGGAGAGTCACTTGCGTTCTGCGTGGGTTGCATGTGCACCAGTCTAGTCCGTGTGTGAATGCTCACATCATGCCCCTCTCTCTCTCTTCTCGTCCTCTCTCTTCCTTTTCATCCCGATCTCTATTTCTGCTACAGCAGGGCAGAAGCAGGAACCTTATCATTCTCTTCATGAGGATTCCCCACACGCCCAGTCAGCAGCATCGGCGCCTGATGCCATTTTGCCTGCCACACCGGCCGCTTCCATCACAAGCCATTCGGCTCAAGACCCGAGTAGCCTTGTTGCAGGAGAGCTGGGCTTGACCAGCCCTGCTCTCCCTTCTTCTGCGGGTGAGGTGAAGGCTCCCGCTGCTGTTGGTGCTCCTGATGCTGATGCTGCTGACGCTGCTGCTCTGTACTCTGAGCTTTGCAGCGCCCAAAACCTTGGCACATCCACTGCTGCCGCTGCTGGGGTTAGCAACGCCCCTCCCGCTGACTCTCCGTTGACCGATACCATTGTTGCTGCTGCTCCAGCTGCTGCTAGTGAGACCAGCGCGACCCTCCCCACGCCCTCGCCCTTTGAGGACGAGGAGCAATTCGAGGCCAAGATGCGTGAAATGTCTAGCATGCTCAAGGAAACCCTCCCCTTGGCTCGCTCCCGGTTCCAGCAGCAGCAGCAGCAGCAGCAGCCCCAGCTGCAGTCACAACAGCAGCAGGTAGGTGTGGGAAGCGGGTTGGCTGATAGCGACACTGGAGTGGAAGGGGTGACGATGATTGAAGATGGTGATTGGAGCGTGCTGGAGGCTTCTGACCTGCTCACAGCCTCAGTCCTGGGTGGGGCGTCACGATTCAGTGGGGCTGGAGATGGGGTTGGTGGGGTGTTGGAAGGGGGTGAGGATGAGGCGCGGTGGTCGGGGCACAGCTCGTTCAGTGTGCATGCTGGCAGCACTCCACGGGGCAGGGACGGAGGCGCTGGGAGGGGCGAGAGCGGAGAGATAGGTGAGGTGATGGAGCGATATTTTGGCAGCAGTGAGTAGAGAGGGAGAGTGGCCACAGGTGTGTGTGTGTGTGTGTGTGTGTGTTTGTGCAGCTTCTTTTTTAGAGGGTTTGAACTGAGTTTAGGGGTGCAGAGAGGAGGGGAGGATGGTGAATATGCCCTTGCTGGGGACATGGGTCTATGTACATAGTTTTTGTGCGGTGAGGTGTAGACAACTGAGTTAGTGGTACCTGGTAGTGAGGAAATGTATGTTGTGGGAATTGTGTATTGCGAGTACTTCTTTAATGGAGTAATTACATAAACATAACATAGAGATCTTCTAGGGACAGTGGGGATGGGTGGGAATGGAATTCCAAAATTATGACTTGAATGCAACCAAACTAGCTTCGTTATGTAATTAGACCTTGTTCGAAGAATCGAGATTTGTGATTCATGAAAACTTAGGCGCTTAGTGGTGCTTTTTGTAAGCGCGAATTCGTGCAGACCTGCAAATTTGCGGCGTGTTTGAACCATCGGCTGGTCCGTGAGCCAGCCCGCAACAACATTAGTCGGTGTCAAATGTTGTAACCTCTAGTGATGTGTGTCATATGGGGTACAACAGTTAGGGTACATTCCTGTGTGGACATTTGTGTCTCAAACGCTTTGTGCCACCTAAAAACAACATATAACGTACAATGTCAGAAACGCACACAAAGAAAATCGCACGCGTGTCGAAATGTCAAGCATTCCCCGCTCGACCGCATGCATCTGGACCAGGCCCCTAGATTCGTTTTGAGGCACTCTGATCGATCAGTGTACACCCCTCCCGGAACTCTGTCTGTCAGAGGTGTCCTAAATTTTTAGTCTGAAAATTCAGCCAAGCACAACTTTTTTGTCTGAATTGTCAGAGTTACCTTAAAAGTTTAGCAGTTTCGTAAAAGCATACCGTAGTAATAATAGCATTGAAGCTGATTACAGCATACCAACGGAACTGTGCGGTGCCGCGATCGGGAAAATTTGGTTTCCCGCCAGTGATTGACGGTGTTAGTGCTGGCTGGCGTTTCGATTTTTAGGTACTCTGATTGGTCATTTTTCAGAAGTTAGGAACACCGAGCAGTCAGGGTCGAGGTGTCGGGAGCAGGGCTCTCGGTATCAGGGTAAACACTCTGAAACTCAGGTACATTCCGTATGTTTTGTTGGCTAACCCTGATTCGTCATAATCGTTCCAGAAATCATCCGGACCATTTCCGGATGATTTGGCTGATCCCTCAGGAACTTCAGTGTTGTTTCGAGAACAATCCTGAGTGTCAGAGGTCCACTGGTGATCCCCGATTGATCCTAGGGAAGGGTTACAGGCATGGCGGCCTGGGGGGTTATGGGCGCACTCACCCGCTACACAAACAAGCCCTTTTATCCCAGTGGTTAGTGACTGGGATTCTGACATGGTATCAGAACGAAGGTCTCGGGTTCGAATCCCGGTGTGTGCACCTCGGGCATCCCAGTGCGAGGGGGTGTCAGAGGTCCACTGGTGATCCCCGATTGATCCTAGGGAAGGGTTACAGGCATGGCGGCCTGGGGGGTTATGGGCGCACTCACCCGCTACACAAACAAGCCCTTTTATCCCAGTGGTTAGTGACTGGGATTCTGACACTGAGATGTTAGCTCGGTACCGTCATCGCCCGGATAGTAGACAGTGTTGAATAGTAGACAGGGGTTGTCTATTATCCGGGTGTCTCTTATAAACAGGCTAGCCTCATTATAAGACACCTATTTGTGTGTACGCCAGGGCTGACGTTTCAGATTAGGCCTCCCTGATTTCGGGGAAAAATTTTCCCCTCTATTATGAGTGCACATTTTTCAGAATGATGCTACCCTGATTGCTTAGGGTTGAAAAGTATGTAACTCTGATTGTTCAGGGTCGAAAATTGAAGATCACAGTAGTAACACACCCTTTTTTACCGGGGAAAAATTCTCGCTTTGTGTTAAGTCTGCGCTCTGTGTTTCGCGCACACCTTGTGTGCGCTAATTTCCACCCTTTTAGTTTTACAAACAGTATTTATCCACACGTTTTTTCGCGGGGAAGAGACGAGCGATTTCGGTCAACCAAACATTTCGATTCGATACCACAGATGTGCCAAGTTTTTAATTCGCCGAGTACCTGAATGTCGCCAGCATCGCTGTGCGAAACGCTAAAATGGTATGGTAACTTCACGCACACGCAATTACGACAGTAGAACGACCTCTTCGGAATGCGTGAAGGTATCATATATTGAGTGTACTCACCTGTCAGACATGCTGCTGTCGGTCGCTCACGCGCTAGCTGTCCCGCGATCAATCCGAAGGGGGATATCGGAAGGAAATTTCCAGGAACCTTCGTCCCGATACCCTCGCATTCAGGGTACACAGGACGAGTACTTTACATTGACAGAGTCAGTAAGAACACTACTCTGAGCCTGGATACAAGATTTCAGGGTTCGCTAAAGTCCTTATCTGAATGGATCAGAGTTCACAAGTCACAAATTCTGAAATGGCAGGGACCACCAAGTGACAAGCCTGTAATCACCCTGAAATCAGGGTAATTACCCTGATAAAATCAGCCCTGGTGTACGCACTAAGCCAGTGTAGAGGTTAGGGGCAATTATATAGCGAGGGAGTATCTTCTAAACGGTTCATTGTCCGTCCATTTATAAGATTTATAAGACACCCTAAACCATCCCAAATACAAGACAACCCAAGCATTTTTGTCTGTGTACGAGATAAGACATATATGTCTACTATCCGGGCGATGACGGGTAGTAGTTCTTGTGTGGGATGTCGAATGCAACAATGCCCAGAAGTGCCGTCAGACATGATGTAGGTTTCAGGTTTGTTGGTCCTTGCCCATCCAACCCAGACGTTTTAGAGCCTCTTGTGCCTAGGGTAGTGAACTGCTCTTGTGCATTTTCGGATTTTCCGAGAATCACACGGACGCGGAAGGGAAACTTTCGAGGGAATGTTGATTCTTCAGGGTCTTTTCTCAGGCGAACCCGGAGCCTTCCGTGCCTTCAAAAACGAAAGATTTGCCCTGGTCGGGAGACTCGGCATCAGACAATGGCCTCGTGCAAGTGCCAAGTTGGCAAGCTCACAATCAGCAGACCTGGCAGCAGGTACGGTATCGCTCGGCACTTTTCTGGGCACACTGGCAGCAGCAAGAGTTTTCAACAGTTTACACCGTATGTGCGCGGAATATTTTCTCCTAAAGTTATGGCTTCGTAATTTTGACTCAGTTTGGCAAGGGGAAATGATGTGCGGTTCTGCAGAAGTACGAGACTCATATGTGACAAGGCTTTCGTTTGCATCAGTTCGCTTTTCGCCATGTGCAATTCGCTAAAAAGGTTTTGGCCTTGTGCGATTGGCTATCTAGTTTCACATTTGAAGGGTTATTATAAGCCTCTAATGAATTGAACACTCGTGATCGCGTCGAAGAAGTAGTGTATTCTGGTGCCCCTAGTCGAGCAGTTTTCTCCTTAGGAAATCGTTACACGTGGCCCGTACACACGTGGGTGTATCGAGAGGAACTTTCTAGGAAGTTTCGTCCCAAAAACCTTTCATTCAGGCTGGCGCAAACCCCTGTATTACCGGTTTCAGAGTGCACCGCTGATACAAGTCTGAGGCTCAGCCTACACTACTATGACTAGTCTGAAATTTCAGACAACTCAGTTAAAAAAACTCTGAAAAATCAGACAGGGTAAAAAAAATTCTTTGAGTTCAGACAAGGTACAACAAAAAAAGTCTGAACGGACTCTGAATCAGACTGCAAAGTCTGATATCTAGGGCCCTGATCTGGACGCTCGAAGTGGTGACAGTTTTGAGCGGGAAAAACAACCGCCCTGCCCGTGTATCCAATCGAGTGGTACCCACGCCCGTAGGTGATGTTGTGACGCACTTTGTTGCGTTGAACCAGGTGCTGGGTGTGTTGCATCCTGCCAAATTGTTTACAACTGTGCCCGGCGCCAAACATTTCCGGCTCGAGCCCAATGTTATGAGCCAATCAAATTCGACCATGTGTGCCACACCTTCTGTCGCACAATGTCGCGATACATCAGCTGTTTGTGACGCGTGAATTTGTATATTTACAGATGCGACTTTGGAAGACGGGCATTGAGACACAAGTGTCCACACACGAATGTACCCTTAGGGTTAGGTTATGTACCCCAACCAACCATAGTCAATGTATCATTCAGTTCTTGACATGGTATCACCTAGGTTAGGATCCTGTGGGATCCTGTTCCTCCCGCTCACGCCCGTAGCGCCCTACTGTCGAGCCTGTCCCATACCCTAGTGCCCGTCACGCCTGTCCCGTGCCCTAGTGCCTACCGTGCCAGCCCGTCCCGTGCCCTAGTGCCTTCCGCACCAGCCCGTTCCGTGCCCTAGCGCCCGCTGCGCCTACTAGTCGCGTCGCGCCCGCTGGTCCCGTCCAGGGCTGACGTTTCAAATTAGGCCTCCCTGAATCCGGGAAAAATTTTCCCCTTCTATTATTTGTGCATATTTTCCAGAAAAACATCACCCTGATTGCTCAGTGTTGGGAAGTAGTCTAATTGTTCAAGGTCGAGAAGTCAGGATCAGAGTAGTAACGCGCTGTGCATTATCGAAACTGAACCTTTCATGAAGCTAGGGATGGCGTTTCATTGATAGAACATACGTCCGGATCCCTCCCCGCCCCAGCTGATACAGCCGACCGCTTAGATCAGTCCAAGTGGCTTACGCGTGACGCTACTGCTCGTCTTGCTGTCCGCAACCACCTTCCGCTAGCTTAGAGAGCGCATTTTAGCCAGCAAGAAATTGATGGGGTCCATCCTTCCCCCCCCCCCCGATCGCACCGGCACTTGACGTTTCCAATCTGCATCAGGTAATTCTTCGGGTTAGAGCCCGTACCTTCGTTCCCCGAAAAGCGCACTGGCACCTCTACCCGGGTTGCCGCCTGCGAGCCCCATCTCCCTGCGTCCCAGGTTCCTGTTACCCCTTGCTCTGTGCGGCTGACTTCCCCTCTTCGCTCCCTCATCCCTCGGCTGCCTGAGCTCACCCTGTACAACACCCTCTCTATCCCTTCTCTTGCAGCTCTGGCTCCGCGGGATCTTTCTCCTATCTGCCATGACTTCCACGAACTCCTGGGACTCGGACTCCTTCTCCGCTCTTCCTCGTAAGCCTCTCTGCGCCTGTTGGCTTCCCCCCACCACCTTTCCTTCCTCTCAGGCGAGGGTTCCCAATATCTCCTTTCTCGCTCCATCCTTTCCTGCCGCTGCTGATCTTCTCGCTTCCTCTCATCTGCCCTCGTCGCGCGCAGTAACCCTCGTCCACCCTCCCTGCGGTATTCCTCCCCGTGTTCCCTTTCTCTTTCCGGTGAGCCCCACCAGTCTCCGTCTTCATCACCGTCTCGTTCTCCCCTCCTCGGTAGTCCTAAGCCTAGCCAGTCGCCTCTCGCCATATGCCGCTTATGCTCATACCCTTGCCTTGGCTCGGGCGAGTGGAACACTCCTGCAGGTGCGTAATGGCTCCTTTCTTTCCCGTGACACTCCTTGGCCAGGCGCTCAGCTCCCTCACCCCAGCCATGCTTCATATCATTTCCGTTCCGTCCTGCAGGTACACGCTCTTCCTTCCTCCTTCCTCTTTCCTCGTCCCATGCTTCCTCGCGATGCCTCCAATCCGTCACCCCCTCTCATTCTCTCTCCATGCGTTCCGCTACCCCGTGCCGGTGAAGGTACTTCCTTGTCGGCGTCGTCCAGCCTTCCGCCTTCCCGCGCAATCGGGGATTCTTGGCCCTTGACATCGTCCAACCTTCCGCCTCCCCGCGCAGTTGGGGATTCTTCAACGTCGGTATTGGCCCTTCTTCTGCCTCCCCGCGCAGTTGGGGATTCTGCACCGTCGGCGCCAACGCGCCATTCGCCTCCCCACGCGGTTGGGAATTCTTCACCGTCAGCGTCAGCACACCTCCCGCCTCCCCGCGCAGTTGGGGATTCTTCACCATCGACGTCAGTGCGCCTTCCGCCTCCCCGCGCAGTCAGCGATTCTTCACCATCGGCGTCAGCGCGCCTCCCGCCCCCCCGCGCAATTGGGGATTCTTCACCGTCGGCGCCAGCGTGCTTCCTGTCGAAGTAACAGACTGGAATGACTGTACTAACAGAAGGATGGATACAAATAGGAAACCCTAATCCAGTGTACCCCCTAAGGTATCACCCACTACTGCCTACAATCATATAAACATATAATGTTTGACACACCCCCATAGGCAAAGTGGGGGAGACCTAGGGGTCACAAGACCAGTCAAGGCAAAGCAAGGCAACAACAAGCTCAGGGTGGATCTCGAGGATTCCACACAAATTCCGAGCACAAGCTAGTGGTCACAAGACCAGTTCACATGCAAGTTTATAACAGAGCAAGAGATACAGTGATCACAACCTAGCAAGAGTAAACATGCAGGTATAGATATATATAGTGATCACAGTACAAGCAAAGTCAAGAGGTAAGCAAGTGAGGTCCAGTAGGCACAAGGCCTAGTAGAGTGCAGAAGCGCTGATGGTCACGAGGCTGAAGCGCCTTGGTGAACACATCAGCAGTGTTGGCCTCAGTGGCCACGTAGCGAATACAAAGCTGACCGCGCTGCTGCAGCTCTCGAGCAAGGAAGTACCGCAGGGCGATGTGCTTCGTTCTGTGCTCCAGTCTGTGCTCCTCACACAAGGCAATGGCAGCCTTGTTGTCGACGTACAGTACTGGAGGAGAACGAGGCCGCTCTCCGAGGTCGGTCAGCAGGTAGGTCAGCCAGCGTAGCTCCTGGGCAGCCATGGCTGTAGCGTAGATCTCAGCCTCGCAACTGGAGCCGAGAACAGAAGAAGAGCGTGTAGAGCGCCAAGAAACTGAGCCAGAGCCAAGGCTGAAGGTGTAACCCTGAGACGACCGCTGAGTGGCCTGGTCGTCTGCCCAAGAAGCGTCTGAGTGCCCTGTGAGAACAACTCGGTCTCGCCCTCCAAGCACAAGCCCCATGCCCGACGTACTGCACAAGTAGCGCAACACCCTCTTAGCGGCATCCATGTGCTCCTTCCTGTGACGGCCAGGAGCGACATAGCGTGCAAGGATGCTAAGAGGGTATGCAAGGTCAGGTCGAGTGCAGGTCATCAGGTACATGAGGCAGCCCACAAGCTCTGGATACGGGCCACTCGGCTCTACGGACTCATCCGAAGGCAGAGCTGAGAGCGAGTGACCGGTAGGCAGAGGAGTGGACTGTGGCGAGGAGTACGTGAAGCGGAAGCGCTGGAGAACCTGCTGCACCATGTGTGACTGAGTCAGGGTGATGGTGCGCCGTGCTCTGTCCCGGGTGATCCGCAAGCCAAGATAGCTTGTCAGCTCACCCAGGTCTGTGCACGTGTGTCTCCTCTGCAGCTCCGACTTCACGTAGGCGAGTCCTGCAGTGTCAGCAGTGGCAAAGACCAAGTCGTCGACGTACACGAGGATGTAGAACGGCGGCAGCGAAGTGTCGGTGCGCAGGAACAGCGACGGGTCAGCTGTAGAAGGCGCGAACCCAAGAGCCGCAAGTGTAGTCCTCAGTGTGTCGTGCCACTCACGCGGAGCCTGGCGGAGACCGTAGACCGGCCGCTGAAGCCTCCACTGGGTACCAGGAGGAAACGACCCAGTGAAGCCAGGTGGGCGGCGCAGCCAGATCTCCTCGTGCAGGCTGCCCTGCAAGAAAGCAGTGCTGAAGTCAAGTGAGTGAAGCTCGTAGTCGCGGTGAGCGGCTATGTGCAGCAGCACCCGAAGAGTGGTCATATTCGGGGTGGGGGAGAAGGTCTGGAAGAAGTCAACTCCCTCTCGCTGACTGAAGCCTCGAGCCACGTAACGCGCCTTGAAGACAAGCGGAGAACCCGGCGGCCGCTTCACCCTGAAAATCCACATGCCACTGACGATGTTCGCCCCAGGAGGGGGAACCTCGTCAACGTAGGTGCGTGTGGACTTCCAGGAAGCCATCTCGGCGTCCATGGCTGTCTGCCACTGAGAGGAGTAGGGACCCGCCATCGCCTCAGCGTAAGTGCGCGGGGTCGGGATGTCTGGTGCATCCGGGTCTCCCTCAGGGGCAACTAGCAAGGACACGAGACGGGGCAAAGCAGCACCAGTACCAGTAGGAGCTCCAACGTCCGGGTCCACAGCACCAGCAGCAGCTCCACCGGCTGGGTCCTCAGCACCAGTAGTAGCTCCAACGCCCGGGTCCTCAGCAGCAGCAGCAGCGCCACCGCTCGGGTCCTCAGCTCCAGTAGCAGCTCCACCGTCCGAGTCCTCAGCACCAGCAGCAGCTCCACCAGGCGGGTCCGCAGCACCAGCAGCAGCTCCAACGGCCGGGTCCTCAGCACCAGCAGCAGCGCCACCCCGAGGGTCCGCAGCACCAGGAGCACCACTCCGAAGACTGCAGCGCCGTGTGTACCACTCGCGGATCTGCTGAATGGGGGGGAGCTCCTGGGTAGGAGGGGAAGTACCGGGACGAGCTCCAGCAGCACCTCTCCGGAGGCGGCAGTACTCGAGGTACCTCTCCTGCAGCTGCTGGGAGGAGAGGGCTCCTCCAGGCGTAGCACGCTCAGGCTCAGCACCCCCAGACTCAGCACCCCCAGGCTCAGCACCTCCAGGCTCCGCACCTCCAGGCTCTTCACCTCCTGGCTCAGCACCCCCAGGCTCCGCACCCCCAGACTCAGCACTCCCAGGCTCAGCACCCCCAGACGCAGCACCCCCGGGCTCAGCACCCCCAGACGCAGCACCCCCAGGCTCAGCACCCCTAGCAGGACGAGAGTCAACAGCTACCTCGACAGGCTCACCCGGGTCTACCTGGGACACACCTGAGGGAGCGGCACCCTGAGGGGGGAGGGGGTCTGGTACCTCAGCACCTGGAGCGAGGAAGAGAGGCGGGGGGGGGAGCGGGGCAGTGCGGTAGGGGAAGAGGCGGTAGTAGGGGACGGACTCGTCAAAAGTGACGTCCTGAGAGGCCAGGACACGACGCGAGGTGGGGTGGTAGAACTGCCAGCCAGGGGTGTCCGGGACAAAGCCAAGGAAGACGCAGGGGACAGCGCGACGGGAGAGCTTGTCCGCGGACGTGTCGCGGACAAAAGCTCGGGATCCCCAGACCCGAAAACGCGACGCATCGCCAGCCTCTCCCGTCCAACGCAGTGTCGGCGAGGTCTCGGGCAAGGAGACACGGGGCCAGAGGTTGAGCTGATGCGCAGCGTATCGGACTGCAAACGGCCACAGAAAATGGGGGGCAGCCGCATGGCTCAAGGAGGTACGAGCGACCTCCATGACCAGACCAATGCGGCGCTCAGCAACCCCATTCTGCTGTGGAGAGGCCGGAAGCGTGTACGACTGCTCAATGCCCTCCTGCTGACAGAAGGTCTCCAAGAGGCCAGAGGAAAACTCCCCACCTCTGTCAGAGTGCAGACGCAGGACAGGGAAGTCGGAGCGGAAACGCTCACGGAGCTGGAGACGAGATCTGCGGATCCAGGGGATCAATACATCAGGGACGTCACCCTTGGCGCGCAAGGGGAAGACCGTGGTGAAGCGCGAGAAGTCGTCAACAACAATCAGGAAGTACCTCTCCTGACCCTGGCCACGGACGCGGGCTGGGCCCCACACGTCCAAGTGGAGCGTCTGCAAAGGAGCAGTCGTCGGGGGAAAGGAGGAGGAGTGAGGAGCGGCGCGCTGCCGCCCCTCGACACAGGGAATACAGGGAGGAGCAGGCGAGTCTGGAAGGGGAGGGAGTACCCTGGGAAGACCAGCAACAAGGTCCCGTTTGTGCATGGCCCGAAGTCCCTGCACAGACGGGTGACCAAGGCGGTGGTGCCAAAGGACAGTCTCATGCGCCAGAGAGCGACACGAGCAGGGGGCGGACAGCTGACCTGACGCAGACGCAGACGCGGACGCAGCTACCTGAGGGGACTTAGTGGTCAGTGTGTAAAGGTCCGACCCCGGCTCCCGAGTGAAGGTAGCCAGGTGGCGACCCGTCCGAGCATACGTGCAGTGTGTCACGCGCTCGTAGGCAGGGGTGAACTGGTGGACACCCCCGTCCTGGAGCGCACTACCTGCCACCAAGTTCGTAGAGAACGAGGGGAGGTAGAGACCTGACAGCGTGCCGGACGGGACCGCCGGACAAGGAAGGACAGTGGAGGAGGTCGCAATGACCGGACCCCCAGAGGGGTCAGCAAGGGAGACAGCAACTGGCCGAGCAAGTGGCTCAAGGACAGTGCGGTCACGAAAGAAGGAGCGAGAAGCACCTGAGTCCAGTGTGAAGGTGTGCAGTGCTGCAGTCGACTCAGTACCAGGGGGCACGGACGCACGAGCACCTAGGGCTGCAGCCTCACCAGGACCTGTGGGAGCAGACGCACTAGCACCTAGAGCGGCAGCCGGACTGGCCTGAATGCCCGGGTCGGGCGGAACACGCAAGTACTGAGTACCCTCTCCACTAATAGACATCGCATACATGGCAGTGAGAATAGCATCAAAGTCTAAAGCCCAAATATCAACACCCCTCTTTTCCAGATCAGCCCAGCGCGGCAGCTCAGTGGCAGCAGGAAACTGAGTGCGCCACGCGTCGTTAAGGCGCGCGAAGCAGCGCTGCGTAGGGTGCGGCCTCCCACACTGCTGGCCGCTGCGGTCACCTGTGCGAATGACGTACGTGCAGGTAAAGCTACGCTGCGCATACCACTCACGGGCGGCCTGAAGCGTCGGGGCGGGCTGCTGACTCTGCCCTCCGCCAGTGCCTCCACGACCACCACCCCCACCGCCGCCGCCCCGGCCACCTCCACCCCTGCCGCCGCCACGACCACCTCCGCCTCCGCTGCCGCCTCCACCACCACTCCCACCGCTGCTGTCTCCTCCCCCACTGCCGCCACTAGTCTCCCCAGCCGCGCCTCCACTCCCACCGCCTCCACCCCCACCTCCTCCGCCGCCACCCCCACCCCTGCCCCCCTTGTTCCTGCGGCGCCCGCTCGAAGCAGACGCGGTCCCGACCTTCTCAGCACCAAGAAGGTCGACAGCAGCAGCAGAGGCGACAGAGGGGAGGAGGGGGGAAGGGGAACACCCCTCAAAGAACGGGGTGCGGGGGTCGCCACGAGAGGTGCCTACAGCGACGATGCTCGCCTCAGCTGCAAGCAGTTCCTTCTCGAGGAGGGCAATGGTGAGCTTAGTGGGGGAGCGAGAGAGGAAGTGGTCCCTGACTGCGCGCAGAGAGTCAGGGAGGCGGGTGACGATGTGGTAGAGAGTGATCCAGAGTGGGGGGGGGTTGCTAGTGAGAAACTCGGCAGGCATAGCAGCGCGAAAGCGGGCCTCACTAGTCTTAAGGTGGGTGATGAGGTCTGCGACAGTGTGAAAGGAGGCTAGGTCGGGGAACAGGTAGGGGAGAGTGAGGCGGCCTAGCGTGGCAGAAGCGGGTGAGGAGTAGCGGGCCACTACAGCCGTGTAGAGGTCCTTAGCAGTCTTGCACTGGCCGAAGTGCTCGCGCTCGTCTAGCGGCAGGGAGTTGCGAATAGCAAAGCGAGCATGCGCATCACGGGTCTGCCACTGGGAACGCAGAGTGCTGTCAGCAGTCGAGTCAGGGGCAGTGGCATGGCCTAGGGCGTGGTCGTACAGTGAGATATCTTCCTTGGCAGTGAGCTGTAGGAACAGGTGCAGGTCATCTAGCCAGGTTTCGAACTTCACCGGACGGCCCTCGGCATCGAAAGCTAGAACGGGAGGACTAGCCATAGCGACAGTAGCAGTAGCAGTAGTAGTAGGAATCAGGCCGCTGGAAAGGTGTGCGGAGGGTCAACGGGGCCGGCGGGGCCGCTAGGCAAGGCGCGGGCGGGGTCGACTGTCCGTAGTGGCACACGAGCGGCAATAGTAGGTAGCGTGGCAGCAGGAGCTGCAACGGCGCACTGGTGGTAGCTGCAGTGGTAGCAGTGTGCGCGGTAGGTAGTAAATAAACAGCAGTGAGAGCGAGTGCCTCGCGGGCGGTGGCTGCAGAAGCGCACGGGCGGCAGCGGCGCACGGGGAACGGTGGCGCACGGGCAATGGCGGCGCACGGGCAGCGGCAGCGTAGGGGCAGCGGTGCGCAAGCAGCAGCGGAAGCAGCGGCGTGCAAGCGGCTGCGAGGCGTGCGCGAGCAGGCGACGGGCAGTAGCGGCGCACGGCAGTGGCTGCGGCGGCGGCAGCGAGCACGGCAGCAGCAGCAGCAGCAGTGCACGGGCGGTAGTAGCGGCGGCAGCGGCTGCGGGCACGGCAGAAACGCGGGAGCGGCAGCGGGCGACTCGCGGGCAGCAGCGGCAGCTGCAGCGGTGCAAATCGCGGGCCGGCGGGGCCGCGGCGGGCTGTGCGCTAGCGACGCAAAGGCGTGCGAGCAGTGCGCGGGCAGTGCGACGGGGCCGGCAGCGGGCAGCACGCAGGCCGCGGGGGTAAAATGCGGGCTGCGTGCGCGGTGCGCGGGCCGGTAGCGGGCGGTGCGCGGGCCGTTAGGGGCGATCGCAAGGCCGACGGGGCCGCTAAGGGGCGAGCGGCGGGGTCGTTCGAGGCGCTAAGGGGCGGCGCGACGGGGCCGTGAGGGGCCTCTAGGTCAAATGCGACGGGGCCGCGGGGCCTCTAGACGGGGCTCGATCGACGGGGCCAGCGGGGCCGAATAAAAAATAATGAAGCGCTCGAGGGCGCTACGGGGGAGGCGCTAAGAACGCGCTCCGGTAGTAGGTAGGTAGTTAGGTAGCGAACGGTGGGCCCTTAGGAACGGTCCTAGAGAAGGACCTGCTCTGAAACCATGTCGAAATAACAGACTGGAATGACTGTACTAACAGAAGGATGGATACAAATAGGAAACCCTAATCCAGTGTACCCCCTAAGGTATCACCCACTACTGCCTACAATCATATAAACATATAATGTTTGACACTTCCGCCTCCCCGCACAGTTGGGGATTCTTCACCGTCGGCGCCAGCGCGCCTTCCGCCTCCCCGCGCAGTTGGGGATTCTTCGAGCTCTTCCCCTTCCCCGTTATCGCTCGCCGACTCCATGTCCACGTCGTCATCATGGTTCCTATCGTCCCCTCCATGCCGGCCTCCTGCCAGATCCCACGGGTCGCTGGTCGCGAGCCGTCGTCCAGGCTCCGATCTGATGTATAGATCCACTCCGCGTCCACAAGCACGCACGCCCACTGGCATCACCAGATCTGCATGATACGCCGCCCTTCGTAACGAACGTGTCGGCGACCTCCCACTCTCCCTTGAGCACCTCCATCGCACCGGAGAACGTTCCCGCCGTGGATACGTACGCTGCATGCGCATGTCATGGCGATCCATATCGTCGGCTTTTCTTCTCTCGTTTGTGAGAGATTCAAACTTCCACAGCTGGCTACCAAGAGTGGCCTCTGTCACCTTGCTTGCTCTGGCTTAGAACGGTAACGTGGAATCCACTATGCACTGGAAAACAAACGAGAGAACAGGATCTTCTATGCAAACAGAGGCTACTTAAGACCCGAAGCCCGAATTACACAACGAAGTCAACGCCGAAATTCTTGGTTTGGAAAATCCGAAGAGGAGGTTCGGTCCCAAAATCGGAAGCCAATCGCCTCAACAAACCACTCAAAAAATTGGACCAAACGCGTGAAACTGGTGACAGGTTCCCAGCTGACTCGGTAATTCGGGATGTGGCCTTTAAGCTACCTTCCATCCTCGTGACTGTCTTGACGAATTGGGTTGGGCTCGAGTCGCCTGTATGCTGGTTGGCCCTCACTGATTTCCTGTCCCTCAAGGGTCCTCGAATTCTTCTCTTATACGCTCCGCAGCCTCCAATGTTACCAACTTCGCGTCACTCCCAGAATCCCAATTACCGCTTACTAAAGCTGCATAGCACAAATTACACCTTCTACACCTCAAATAGCAATCAACGGAATATGCTGCAACTTACCATTATATTTCATGACAGTAGTGCAATCTGCATAGTAGCTAGCGTGAAGAAAGTGCAAATGGGTAACTAGGCCGGCTACAGTAAAGAATGAAGGGAGATCAGGAAAAGGAAAAGGCAGAGAGGCGGCCTAGAGTAGCCGAGGAGGGAGTAAAAAGGCGAGCAATAACATCATCAAAACATTGCTTTGCGGCCTCCACCTGGCAGCAGTACTCTCGCTCGGCCCAGGGGAGGAGGTGATCGAGAACAAGTTATACAGCAGCGTCACGCACCTCCCACTATGTGCTCCTTTTGCGCCAGCGCGACGTCATCAGCAAGTTCAGGAGGACGCGCCGGGTGTGGGAGGTCACTCGAAGCATGGTCGTATAGAGAGATATTATTTTGAAGCTAGCTCTATGGGTATAGCTTGAATTAGAGCAGCCATTGCAAGGAATCACTTGTCAACGTTGGGAGCTGAACTACTTGGGAGGCTACGGGGTTGTTCAGGTGATCGTAAGGTTCGCTTAGCACTTGCACATTCGTATGTTCCTGGGGGAATCGGCAAGAGTTCCACTAAGGGAAAGAGATTGAACAAGAGTACAATGGGGCATGCAAGTCCATATATAGCTAGAATGGCATTGCAACACCTAGCAAGCACTCTGCAGGGGAAGTTCTTTCAGCGCAGCAGAAGGGCGGATTGTCAACGCTGTAGTAAGGTGACCTCCCAGCATTGCACCGAGGGTGGTCTACCAGTATATGTACTCCAGTCGCCGATGAACATGTATGCATGTGCGCACCTACTAAGTAGGTGCAGGTCGACAGTCGCACCGCCAGGCACATTGCGCAGGTGCTAGGTAGAACACTTGCCAACAGTTGCAACAGACGCCCACCATCTAGCAAATAATGCCATTGTGCAGGTTGGCTTCGCCATGACCTCATGGGCAAATATCGCCCGTCTGCCAAGTTTTCGATGCCGCTCTGTTGAGCATCGTTCTCCAAGGTGAGCTCGTTGATCAATGCTCTTCGTCGGGCTTGTCGGCGACCACTGTCATTGACCAGCGACCTCCGTCGACGATGTCGACTGCGTCCCGTCGTGCAGGGTCTACTCAACCAACACCTTTGTCGGCCAGTGAAGGACCACTCGACGACCACCTTGTCGAGTTCCTCTGGTCGACGGGATCGGTTGAGCCAAATTGCGGGTTGGCCCTTTCTCTTCGACAGCCACGAATCGAATTCGATTACATGGCCCTCCACATCAAAGCGTATAACGAATTCAGTCACCACTATAACATGAAAGAAGGGGCACAACTGCAGTAGGTGAAAGAAAATAGCCACGGGAGGAGGAGTTACTCTGAACAGCACGCGCAGTGCGTGTTGATTGTGTAGGTGGTTGTGGTATTTTGTTCTAGCTGGTTCTGGGCTTAGGGTTTGGGCAAAATGTGATTGCTAGACTTGTTGCGGGTTCGAATTGAACTCGCACCCAACAATCTCCCAGCAGCATAGTAGGGCGGCATGGGCTGGCAAACAGGCAGATGAGGGCGGCGGACGGCACGAGTGGCGGCGCGACGCGGGTAGCGCGCTGGCTAACTCGCGGTGGGTGTCGGCGGCCAGCGGCTGTCGCCTAGTTGGCACGTGGCTGACTCGCGTGGCTAATTCGTGTGCGGCTGGATGCCGCTGGTGTGGGCTGGTGCGCGATTGTCGCAGGCAGCGCGCTGGCTGGCGTGACTGGCACCGACTGGCTCGGGCTGGCGCGACCGGCGGGCAGGCGCGCTGGTTTGAAACCATGGGCGACGCGAGTTGGCGTTGCTGGTTGGTGCACTAGCTCCGCCAGTAGCAGCAACAGTTCGTGCGGCGGCGACGATAGTGCAAGCGGCTGCGACAGGGGCGCTGATACGGAAGTGGTGCGTGCGGTAGCAGTGGGTGTAGACGTGGCTGGTGCGAACGCAGACGGGGTTGACGCAAGAGCAGCTGATGCTAGGGCGAGGCGTGGGCGAAGCTAAGGCGCGGGTGCAGCGGCGCTAGGGTGGGGCACGGGTGTTAGTAGACCTACACTGTGAGATCCCCGATTGATCATATGGGGGTTACAGTCGCGTTATGGGCACGGACCCGTTACACAAACAAGCCATTTTATTCTAATAGTCTAGTGGTTAAGATTCTGACATGGTGTAATAGCGGCCCCAGGTTCAAATCCCTGTGTATGCATATGCTGGCCGTTGCCGTTGTGACGAGTCTTGGGCCTCCCAGTGTAGGGGGGTGTCAGTAGACCTGCACTGTGAGATCCCCGATTGATCATTGAGGGGGTCACGGGTGCACCAGACCCGCTACACAAACAAGTCATTTTATCCTGGAGGTCTAGGGCACAGGCGCTGCGCTGCTAGGACGCGGGTTGGGCTGGCACGAAGGCGCCGGCCGGCTAGGGCTAGGGCTAGGACGAGGTTGGCAAGAGCGTGGATAGGGCGTTAATGGACGCTTTAGAGGGCGTGCTAAGGGGCGCTCTAGTTGGTGTGTTAGGAGATGCTATAGGGGTGCTCTGCTGTGCGCGCTAAGTGGCGCTCTAGGGGGCGCGCTGAGGGCAAGGCTAGGGTTAGTCAGGGTAGGCGAGACAAAAACAATAACCTAGTAACCTATATTGATATCATGCTAATAAAGGAATGTATGGGTAGAATGAGGGCATCCAGATGCGATATGTACAAAAACTCTACCCCATAAATTACTCAAAGTAGGCTGTTATATACACATGCAAAAGTGTACCGTATGTGTATCTTGACAAAGAGCACAAAGGGAAGCTTTGTGTATTTGAGTTTGGTACCATCCATGTTTGGTTTGTCCATTTGAACTATAGAGATTATGTTGTAGGTTCTGTACTATAGGTAGAATATTAACGTCGTTTTTTGTTAGGAAGTTGCCCTGATGTGGTGAGCTGTGTGCCAGCTCGTCGCCAGCTGGTAATTTTGGCTTACCCCCCTCAATCCTACAAGGCGAGGAATTCAGGGAACCCCAATGACCCTCTGGTGGCAGAACAGTTCAACACTACAGGCTACTGTACGCGGGTTGCATATGAATCTGCGACAAGTGGGTTGGGAGGGATTATGAACCCCCAAAAAAATACAGAAGAAAATTTCCCGATCAATCAAGTGAGTAGAGTACGCGTGTTTACCCAACGGTACGCGTTGTTTAGCGGAAAGGCAACAATCGCGAGAAGAGAAGTCCAAGGTGGCTTGGCCTTTCGGGTACAGTCGATGCTCACTTAGGCCCGCTGAATTGACTCCTCTTTAAAACTTTTCCCTGGTGCATTCGTGGACGGACAACGGCCATTTATGTACAGTAACATCAGTAATTCTTAGCCGTCGATCGAACTGCTTATCACGCTGTCAACCATCCCTTCTTCAGACGTTTAATTCGTAAACCCCTCTACTTGCGCGTTACAAACCCGTTTTTTCTTGTGGCGAATTTGGGCGAGGTTGGCGAAGAATATTCGCTCAGTCCCCGCCTTTCGATTAAGCAAAGGTGGGGTTCCTCTAATGGGCATCGATTGTACTACATTGCATTCACGCACAAGGCTGACAGGGTGTCTGCCCATACACAGCGTCGGTATGGATGGAGAGAATGTCAGCCCATACACAGTGTCATGGTATGTAGTGGAATCTGTGTGGTGGCCCTCCTGAGTCCTGGTAGTGATCCCAGTTGCCAAGTGGGGCAATATGGCATTTGTGTTTTGTCTAAGAATGTTTGTTTTCTGCCCAAACGAGCCCCTTCAAGTGAGGATAGCAGACGCCAGAAGCACATATACCACACTGTGTTCTAATGTAAAGTCGCCCATAAATTCAGTCAACAATTTTGTGTGGAACGACAGTGTGCGGAGGAATGAATCTTCGATCATATGCTGGATAATCTGAACGGAATATATGATACAGCACTGTAATGAATAACGACGGGCCCACATGTCCTTTCCAAGATTAGTTCGAGTCGCGCTGGCCGGCCACACCGAATATCAGCCAGTCCTCGCAACCCTTAGGGCGGGTCATACTCGTTTCATTTTGGCGGTTTCACACCCGTGTAACAAAATCTCTACTGTTCGAAAGACGATCAGTTAACCCGAATCCAAAGACGTTCCGCATCCTGGAGGGTCTATGCGGACCCAGCATCCCGCCTGCACAAACTGAATTGAGCAGAACGATGACTTCGCGAATAGAGAAATTGTCGCTTGGGTAATTTAGGTAGTAACAACCAATCGTTCTAATCGACGAAAAACACATCCCTCGCTCGAAGAAGGTAAACCCTGTTACCGACAAGTGAGACAGCAGGTGACGGAACGTCGAAGCTGCTCAGTTTGCAATTATTTCGGAAAAAATCGAGTGAGAAATGTAATATGGCCGGGACTCGTTTTGCAAGTTGGAAAACCGATCGCGTCATCCAGTTTGATCTCAAAATTTGACGCGGTTACCCTTCGAAAAAGAGGGATATGGACCTGAGGTGTGTTGACCTGGACCCGCCCTCAGCGTGATTTTAGGTTCCGCGACATGCACACAAGTAAGCCCTCCTGATTTGGAAGACCCACTTATTCCGCAACTACTGGCGGGAAGCTCGAAGTGCTAGTACTCCAATCGAAGTGCTAGCACAGCTCTGCAATGCACATAACAGGGATAGTTTTTCGCAGTGCGGACGCGAAGGCTTGTCAGGCTCAGCTAGCTTTGACATCACTCGGATGAAGATTTTTGTACCCGAGTCGCCTCGTTGAACCCATTTCTTTTGCACTGTTTTCTTGGTACTTCCTCCCGTTGTGCATCGACTCGGAACAGCTCATATTATGCTAATTAGTCATCTTTTCAAGAGTTACGCTTATTATTCATCTTTTCAAGAGTTACGCTTCGCTAACTTTCGAAGGTGGGCTGCATTAGCTTCAACTTGTATTGAACGACATGATGCTTCCCTTAATCCGCCCGACAGTCACTGACGACCCACTTAAAGTTAAGACCGACCAACGTCATGGTTACCACCCGAATCTCGCAACGGCAGCGACGAGAGCTTCGCACTTTCGTAGCCAATCGGAGTCTACATTTGCCTTCGACCTGGAACGATCGGAAGGTCAGAACGCATCAGAATGGGAAAGCGAGAATTGCGGCAGGGGCGGCGGCGGGAGCGGCGGCGGGAACCCGGCCGAGTCGAGAGAAGGCATCGCCGAGGCTAGCAGATTCGTTTCAAGCGCGCATCGCGGCTTGTCGCCGGCAGCTAAGGTCGTCGTAAATGATTCCGTTAATAATATTGCGAACGCCGAAGGCCAGCAAGACCAGGTTACTCCTTTACCGAGCTCAAGACCTTCGAAGCCGCAATCGCCGCTTCCACGTCATCGTCGGTACCGGTCAGATGACGCGTTCTCCTTCCACGAACCTTCCCTCCGCACGGCGGCTGACGGCGCCAACGCCGCCAGTAGAACAAACAATTGTGGTAGTGGCGACAACGGATCGCGCGGCGGCGGCGGCGTGATGACGATGGTGCAGCGAGGAATGCAGCTGCTGAGCACCAATAACAAACTCGTCGCCGGAAAAGGCGGCCGACGCGACGGCGGACGTGGCGGACAGCCTTTCAATAGTAGTAAAACTACGGTCACGGGTAGTACTAAGCATGCTACATCTATAGACGCTTCGGATGATGACAGCACTATGCCGTCAGCTAGTGGTCACTCTCCGTCAAGTCCTTCTGATGGTAACCGCGACGCTGGAGAGTCAACAGAAGCCGAAGCCGGTCAACAAAAGTCGCCAGGGTCAACGACGTCGCCGACGGGGTCAACGCGAATCGCGCGCAGCACGGTTGTCCTGTCTGGCGCTGCGGCGGCGGCGCGGACAAGGGGGTCGAGCCGCGGAGGGTCGATCTGTCAGGAGCTGCTGCCGAGCCTGTGGGAGGAGGAGGACGAGCGCGCAGAAGGAACAGCGGCGGGTGCGGACGATCGCGCGAAAAATCGCGGCGCGATGGGGACGCCGGCGGAAGATGCGGAAGTGGCGGGGGAAACGGAAGTGGATATTACTAGTACTGGCCATGGCGGGGACCGAATGGAGTATTATTTGCGGAGGAAAAGCGGAAGCGCGATTCCGCGGAGTCGGGAACGATGGCAGGCGGAAGACGATGCGGGGAGAGTTCCCGCTGCTCCAGCCACCAATCCCGCTATCGCCCCCGCCTCCCCCTCCTCCTCCGCCATTCCGCATGTTCCGAGCCTCACTGGGCTTCCGCCGCGGCCGATGTCCCCGTCTGAAGCAGACCCGCACAGCTCGTTACAATTACGGCACGCGCAAATCTCCCCCACTACCTCCCCCCACAACCACCGCCGAACGCAGAGCAGCGGAACCTTTCTCTGGGGGGGCGGAATGATGGGGGGACTTCCGCCCACGAGCCCCCGAACCAGCGCGTTTTGCGCGAGTTTTGCAGGCAGCGGCGCGCATTTGCCCCCGCTGAGCCCTAGGGCGGGCGGCAAAGGGGGCGGCGGGCCCTGCCCTTTGCCCAGCCCCATTGGGCGGAGCAAAACGACTGGCGGAAGCTTCTCGAGGGTTTCCGCTGCCGGGTCGGTTGCTGACGTGGCAAGCCTCCCTAGAAGCCGTACTTCGTACGCGGCGATGGGGGAAGGCGGAGGGGGGGGAGGAGGGGGAGGAGGGGGAGCGGGGGGAGGGGGACGTGGGGGGATGGGGGGAGAAGGCAGGGCGGCGGGCGGAGGGGGGCACTTCCCGTCACTGAGTCGGGGGAAGGGCATGGGCGGAGGGGGCGGCGGGGTGCCTCGAAGCGCGAGCAGCGGGAACGTGGCAGGAATGGCGCAGAGCGGGGCGGCACTAGGGTTTACCCCCACCATGGGAACAATGCTTGATCCCGCGCGAGGGGGTAGCGGGGTGCCTAGAAGCGCGAGCAGCGGGAATATGGCAGGGATCATGGGCGGTGGCATGGGCGGCGGCATGGGCGGCAGCATGGGCGGCATGGGCGGCATGGGGTTCACTCCCACCATGGGCACGGTGCTTGGGAGTGCGGGGGTTCCTAGAAGCGCCAGCAGTGGGAATATGAGCGGCATGGGCGGGAATAGCGCGGGCATGGGCGGGAATAGCGCGGGCATGGGCGGAAGTGGCGCGGGCATGGGCGGGAATAGCGCGGGCATGGGCGGGAATAGCGCGGGCATGGGCGGAAGTGGCGCGGGCACGGGCGGGAGTGGAGGTGGAAGGCTCAGTGGGTTGGGATTGGGGTCACCTGGTGCGCATAAAGTGGGCGCGCACAGGAGAACAAGCAGCGTTAGCAGCGGTGGTGGCGTTGGTCTCGTCAGCAGCAGTGCTAGTGGTATGCAACAGCAGCACGGGCACAGCCTCAACAGCCCTAGCAGCAGCGGCAGCAGAACTGATGTGATGGGGCGGCACAGGAGGTCTGTTAGCACCAGCTACCAGCCTCATTCCACCACCACCACCACCACCACCACCACCACCACCACCACCACCACCACCACCACCACCACCACCACCACCGCCACCACTACCACGAACCTTCCTGATGGCAGCAGGCCCAAGGGATTCAGGGCGCCGAGAATCGTGCTTCCTCACCACGACAGCATCAGCCCTGCCACGTCACCGCACTCCACCAGCCCACGTGGCAGCAGCAGCAGCTTCGCTCCCGGTGACACGTCACTCAAGTCGCCCTACACCAGCCCTCCCAATGCCAGTCCACGTGGCACTCCAGCCTCCCCCGGTTACCGCCTCCCTCCCCATAAGTCTCCTGGCGCTGCTGCTCATGCCACCTCGCTTCAAGGCCGTGTGCCCGGACCAGCACAGTTACTAGGAGGTTTTACAGGGGCAACAGCAGCAACAGCAGCAACAGGAGCAGCAGGAGCAGCCATCCCAGCGACCTTCTCTCGCTCCCCCAGGCACCGAAGCCCCACTGTGCTCAGCCCGAGCCTCCGCAGCCCGAGCCTACCCAGCCCCGACGTCATCCGAACCGGCAGCTCAAGTCCGGGAGGCAACGCAGCAAGCAACTTAATCGGGTTCTCCTCGCCGACTTACCTCCCTAGTCCAGCCTCCTCCGCGTCTTTAAATGCTAGTAGCCCTTATGCTAATTACCCGTATACCCCAGGAGGGGGGAGTGTGGTGCATAGTCCGCAATCCATGGCTGCTCTAGCAGAGAGGGACAAGCAAAAGCTGGCCGAGATTCAGAGCTTCTTTGCTTCGGGACCCGGAGGGTTAGCTTCGGGAAGGCGAGGTTCGGGGCAGTGGGGGGTGGGGGGAACCACGCCGCTCCAGTCGCCCAGGCCCGGAATCTCCCCCAATACATCCCCTCCTGTCAATTCACCTTCTAAAGGAGGAGGAGGGAGAGGAGGAAGAGGAGGGAGAAAGGGAGGTATGGGATTGTTTCTGGGCCCCATTCGCACGCCGAGTCCCAGTGAGTATTACCGGCTTGCTTCGCCTGCTGGTGGGTGGATGGGGCAGGGGTGGGGACGAGCGGAGGGAGAGCAGGGGGAGGAGGATGGCCAGGATGGGGAGGAGGGTGAGGAGGGTGAGGAGGAAGGGGAGGAGGAGGATTGGGGGAGGTACATGGGTGGTGATGCGTATGAAGTGAATGAGGATGGGGAGGGAGAGGAGGGAGAAGCAGGAAGGACAGCAGAAAAGGCAGCGAATGTGGAGGAAGGAGGGGAGAGGCGAACAGGGGAGCAGGGAAAGGTGACTAATGAAGCTGCGGCAGTGGCACAAGGGAAGGAGGCTGTGACAGCCCCAGTGCAAGCAGCAGCAGGCGAAGCTGCCAGGAAGAAGCCAGCAGCAGCCACGCAAGTGGTCACTACCCAAGGGACCAAGCAAGGAAAGGCAGATGTGAAATCCTCGGTGCAAGCAGCAGCAGCAGCAGCAGCAGCAGCAGCAGCAGCAGCAGGAGGAGGAGGAGGAGGAGGAGGAGGAGGAGGAGGAGGAGGAGGAGGAGGAGGAGGAAGTGCGGACGCGAGAGCTATGGTACAAGTGGGAGCAGGCGAAGCTGCCAAGAAAGAGACAGCAGCAGCAGCAGGAGGAGGAAAGTCGGACGTGAAAGCGATGGTTCAGGCTGCTCTGGAGGAGTGGCGGAGGAAGGAGGAGGCGGCAATGCAGCAGCAGGCAGCGTCGGTGCTGGGCAGGGGATTATCGAACGTGCGGGGGGTGTATCAGCTGGGGAAGGAGCTGGGGCGGGGCAACTTCGGGGTGATCAGGGAGGCGGTTGACTGGGTGTCTGGGGAGCGATTCGCGTGCAAGAGCGTCAACAAGAAACGACTGGAGGTAAGAAGGTGTGGTGTGGGTGTGGGAGGGGTCTGTGGGACGTGCGGGGGGTGTATCAGCTGGGGAAGAAGCTGGGGCGGGGCAACTTCGGGGTGATCAGGGAGGCAGTTGATTGGGTGTCTGGGGAGCGATTCGCGTGCAAGAGCGTCAACAAGAAACGACTGGAGGTAAGAAGGTGTGGTGTGGGTGTGGGAGGGGTCTGTGGGACGTGCGGGGGGTGTATCAGCTGGGGAAGGAGCTGGGGCGCGGCAACTTTGGGGTGATTCGCGAGGCTGTGGATTGGGTCTCTGGGGAGCGGTTTGCTTGCAAGAGTGTCAACAAGAAAGGACTGGAGGTGAGGGGAAGAGGAGTTGGGAGGGGTGCAGGGGAGTGGGGGAACAGGGAAGGGAGGTGGAGGTGATGCGAGCGCTCATGGGAGAGGGTGTATTTTGGGTCGACCCAAAATACACCTGGACAAGCGCCCATGGGAGTGGATGTATTTTGAAGCTGACACACGGATTGTTCTCAGGTGGAGGTCATGCGAGCGCTCATGGGAGTGGATAGACATCCTCACCCCTCTCTTCTCTTCTCTTCCTTCCTCTTGCTCCCCTACCTGCCAGTGAGGTTATTTTTGAGACGTCTCAAAAATAACCTCATTACACGTAGACATCCTCACCCCTCTCTTCTCTTCTCTTCCTTTCTCTTGCCCCCCTACCTGCCAGTGCCTGCCTGGACGACCTGGAAGACCTAAGGAGGGAGGCGGAGGTGATGCTGTTGTTGGAAGGACTCAACTTGCTTTGAACACCCCCCCATCCCAACCCTCTCCCGCCTCTCCCTTCCCTTCCTTCTGCCCTCGCTGCCCCTGCCAGTGCCTGGACGACTTGGAAGACCAAAGGAGGGAGGCGGAGGTGATGCTATTGCTGAAGGGACTCAACTTGCTTTGAACACCCCCCCATCCCAACCCACTCCCTCCTCTCCCTTCCCTTCCTTCTGCCCTCGCTGCCCCTGCCAGTGCCTGGACGACTTGGAAGACCTAAGGAGGGAGGTGGAGGTGATGCTGTTGTTGGAAGGTCTCAACTTGCTTTGAACACCCTTCCATCCCAACCCTCTCCCGCCTCTCCCTTCCCTTCCTTTTGCCCTTGCTGCCCCTGCCAGTGCCTGGACGACTTGGAAGACCTAAGGAGGGAGGTGGAGGTGATGCGATTGCTGAAAGACCATCCCAACATTGTGTCGCTGGTGGATACCTATGAAGATGACACGGTGAGTTGACACTCGAGATGACACGGTGAGTTGACACTGGAGATGACACGGTGAGTTGACACTCGAGATGACACGGTGAGTTGACACTCGAGATGACACGGTGAGTTGACACTCGAGATGACACGGTGAGTTGACACTCGAGATGGCACCGTGTAATGAAGAGATATTATCGCCACTCGAAACCACTCGTTAAGGCCACCCCCCCAACTAAAAGCTCAGAACGGTAACCCATGCACTCAACACCCCTGTGTGCACATGGAAATCTCAACAACCCTCTATTTTAACCATCTTGAACTCCAGATTAATCTATATGCCCCATGAGCTCCACCTTGTTGACCTTTGCTTTGTTGACCTCTAATTCTGACCCTTATCTCCTGGTGCATTGCATCGCATCGCATCGCACCGCATTGCATCTCATCGCATCGTAAACGCATCCCATCGCATCGCATTGCCTTGCATTGCACATGGCGATGTTGCCATGCAATAGTGCGAACCTCCTTGACCAAACCCCCCTATCTCCCCTGGGTGTAAACAATCCCCACCTCCCCCTCCCCTCTTCCCCAACTTTCTCCCATCCCCTCTCTGGGCCGTGCACTTGATTAATCTTTTGAGTCGACTCAAAAATGCCGTGTGCCATTGTAACGAGGTGACTTTTGAGTCGACTCAAAAGTCAACTTTCTCCCTTCCCCTCTCCAGGCCGTGCACTTGATTGATCTAGTTTTGAGGCGCCTCAGAACTAAACAACACTTGCAATCCAAGCCCATCTTCTCTTCCCCTCCCCACCTTACCCTCCCCCCACCACCCCCACCAGGACGTGCACATCGTGATGGAGCTATGCGAGGGGGGAGAGCTCTTTGACTGCTTTGATTGATGAACACACCTCGTGACCATCCCCCCCCCCACTCCTCTCTCCCCTTCCTCTCGTTTCTCTTCCTTTTATCCCTCTCCAGGACGTGCACATAGTGATGGAGCTGTGCGAGGGCGGAGAGCTCTTTGACCGTATCGTTGCGCGCAACCACTTCAGCGAGCGACAAGCAGCACAGGTGGGTCTCACGCACAGGGCAATTACCATGAGTGATTCGACTAAAAAAAGTACGGGAAACTTCGGCGACGTTACTGAGGTGCAGTGCAGGGCCCTTGCACCTCAGTACACCGCTCACTCTTGACATTCGAGACTTCTCACTCAATCTCTGAGTCGCATCAAACACTTGCAAGAGTTTTTGCGTTCTATAAGAACCCTGCATAAACCCTGAACCCTAAATCCTGTGCAGGTGTGCCGAACTCTCGCCGATGTGCTGCGCTACTGCCACTCGCACCACATCCTGCACCGCGACTTAAAGCCCGAGAACGTCCTCCTCGTTTCAACCCGAAGCGACACGCGCGTGAAGGTGATCGATTTCGGCATGGCGTACCGCTTTCAAGACGGCGAGCGCTGCACTCAGCGTGCCGGCACTCCCAACTACATCTCCCCAGAAGTCATCGCGAAAAACTATGGGACCGAGGCGGACGTGTGGAGCTTAGGGGTGATTCTCTATGTGATGCTGTGCGGGCTGCCGCCGTTCTGGGGGGACACAACGGAGGAGATTTTCTCAAGCATTTTGTACGAGCCTTTGGATCTGGAGACCGAGCCTTGGCCGGACGTGTCTGCCGCGGCAAAGGACTTGGTTCGGCGGATGCTGTGCCGGAGGTTCGACGAGCGGATAACCGTGCCGGAGATCCTGAGTGAGTAGAGTAGGCACTGTTGGTGTGTGGGCTGTTTGTGGGGCTGATTGCAAGGTTGCTTGAAGGCCGCATGCATTGTTGCTTGGGGCTGTGCCGGAGATCCTGAGTGAGTTGGCACTGTTGGTGTGTGGGCTGTTTGTGGGGCTACTAGCAGGGCTGCTTGCGTTGCTGCGCTCGCTCCCCTTTCATCCATCAGAGTTCCTTTACACGGTATTGTGCTGTGCTGTGAGGTGCTGTACCGGCATGTGCCGTATTGTGCTGTGAGGTGCTGTACCGGCATGTGCCGTATTGTGCTGTGAGGTGCTGTACCGGCATGTGCCGTATTGTGCTGTGAGGTGCTGTACCGGCATGTGCCGTATTGTGCTGTGAGGTGCTGTACCGGCATGTGCCGTATTGTGCTGTGAGGTGCTGTACCGGCATGTGCCGTATTGTGCTGTGAGGTGCTGTACCGGCATGTGCCGTATTGTGCTGTGAGGTTCTGTACCGGCATGTGCCGTATTGTGCTGTGAGGTGCTGTACCGGCATGTGCCGTATTGTGCTGTGAGGTGCTGTACCGGCATGTGCCGTATTGTGCTGTGAGGTGCTGTACCGGCATGTGCCGTATTGTGCTGTGAGGAGCTGTACCGGCATGTGCCGTATTGTGCTGTCCCTGAGATAGTGAGTGAGTCGTTTTTGGTGTGCAGGCTATGTTGTGACGCTTCCTGCTTGCTTGCTCACCTCATGAATGTACGTTCCCACTCTTATACTGTGCTGTGCCTCGCTTTGCTCGGCTGTCCTTAACTCATCGTCCCCCCTCCAACCTCCTCCCTTCACCCTATTCCTTCCCTATGTTCCTCGCCTTGTCTCTTATGCTATCCCCATGTCTGGACCATGCAAATCTGCACTGTTGATTGGCAACTCGTCATTTCGACCTATGCTGCAACAGAGCATCCATGGATTAAAGCCCTCACATAAGGTGCTTGAGCTATGGGCCATCCCCAAATGATAGCTGGAACAATTTCCTGCCAATCAGATTCGAGCAGTGATTTTTGGAGAAACAAAAGTTCCTGCATCATGCAGCTTCTGTTGGTAGAGGTCAAGTTGATCATATGAGGTTGTATGCTCAAGAGGAATGACATACACTAGACTATCCTACCGGTATTAGATTTTGTTATTGTTACGGGTGCATTGGAACGAGATAACGAGGATTGCACTAGGTGTCAAACGAGTACAAAGTATGAGCGAATGCATAAGCGAATACTTATATGCGAAACATGCTAACAGTAACGCGATGCGTGCAAGCTAGCTAGTGCTAGGCTGGCATCGAGGTTCGGGCTAGTCCCGAAGCGTAGGCCGACTCGGCCGGGCCAGCGGTGCATGGTTTGGTGAAACAGTGCGCGCGAAGTTGGCGAAGCCCCGTTAGCAGTAACGGGCGAACAACGGCTGCTGCTGTACGTGATGTTGAGTAGCGCAGTAAGGAATGCCAAAAAAAAAATCCTTACACTACCCCCCTCCGGTACGCGAGTGCGTGTATATTGTTAGAATGGTCTAAGCTACTCGCGGAACCTATATTAGTCTTAGAACCTCCTCCTAATTGTCAAACTTAGGGTACCGTATTCTCCCGGACAAAACACCCCCCCATGATAGAGCACCCCCGGGTAGCTTATGCGGGGTGGGTGCTATGGGTGACCTCGTTTTTACTATACCCCCCTTTTTGGCTGATTTTCTATAACACCCTCCTTTTCTTACGGACTCATTATTATAGCCGTTAGCGAGTAGCTGCAATACGGAAGAATATCGCGAGAATTTCTCCCTCGATGAAATTTCGCGGTACTTTCACTTACAATCTGCCGAGATTTCCCCCTTCCCACTATTTTCCCGTGCCACGTGCTGGTGAATCTTCCGCTGCAAGTGGCCACAAAGGTGCGACATGGCATTTTGTGGGGTTGATGAAGTTCGCGGCCGAAACTCACATTCGCGCCAGGCAGTGATGTTAAAACGACAACCAAAACACCTACATTGTCTATTAAAAAAAAACCCTAACACTAAAATATGTCATATGTAAAGACCCGGGTATTATGTAGCTTTTTCCTATGAGAAGACACCCCCCCTTTTTTTCCTGTATTTTTAGATCTACCCTAGGGTGTTATGTCCGGGAGAATACGGTACATTCCTGTGTGGACATTTGTGTCTCAATCCCTCTTTTCCCGAGTCGCGTCTAAACATGTTGTCAATGTCGCGTCACAAAAACTGAATGTATCGCGAAACTATGCGACCAGGCGAAATGCACAGGTGGGCGCATTTGACTGGGTGACACAGCTGACTATACACCCGTTTCCTCAACCGCTTGGCTGGGGTATGTCCCGCGCGAAATTGGCATTGCAGGCAGACCGGGTGCATTGGCATTTGGGACTGTGTGCGATTTTTTAAAAGTGACGAGTCGGTTTACAATTCGTCAGCGACGTCAGCGTGTAACACGCTAACCAATGAAAAAATAGTAATGGTCGCTGAAAAACGACTCGGGTTTGAGACACACTACAGTTCATGTTGTTTTTTAGCGTCTCAAAGCGATTGAGACATTTGTGTCCACACAGGAATGTACCCTTTATATGTTCATATTGTACTAGGCTGTAGGGGGTTTAGCCTTAGGGGGTTCAACAAATCTCTCGACATTGTACTTGTACCCCCTCCCCTTTGACCTAATCACCATTCCTATTTCAACATGGTTTCAGAGTAGGTCCCGTTCTAGGACCGTTTTTTTTTAGGGCCCACCAAATTAGTTCGTTCCTGCCCGGCGTTCGTTTTTGCCCTGCCCTGCCCGACGTTTCTGCCCTACCCAGCACGCTATCACGCTGCCCTGCCCTGCCCTGCCGCGCGCAGCCAGTACAGCCGGTGCGCCGCCCGCGAGCAGCCCGTACAGCCAGCGCGCCGCCCGCGCGCAGCCCGTACAGCCCGCGCAAGGCCCGCACGCAGCCCGTACAGCCCGCTCCAAGCCCACGCGCAGCATATACAGCCCGCGCCAGGCTCGGGCACAGCCATGCGCCGCCCGCGAGCGTCTGCCCTGCGCTCCGCCGGCGACCCGCGAGCTGCCCGCGCACTGCCCACTGCGCGCCCTGCCGAGCCGCAGCTGCTGCCTGCTGCTGCCGCCACTGCTGCTGGCCACTGCCGCTGCTGCTATTGGCCGCTGCCACTGCTGCCTTGCTTGCACGCGCTGCTCAGCGCTGCCCTGCCCTGCCTGACCGCCGCCAGCGCTGCCCTGCCAATCCGCAGCTGCTGCTTGCTGTTGCCGCCACTGCTGCTGGCCAATGCCGCTGCTGCTATTGGCTGCTGTCACTGCTGCCTTGCCTACACGCGCTGCTCAGCGCTGCCCTGCCCTGCCTGGCCGCCGACAGCTCTGTTCTGCCAATCCGCAGCTGCTGCCTGCTGCTGGCCCACCGCCCGCTGCCCCCCGTGTTGCATTGCTCGCACCGCCTACGTGCGCCCTGCCTGAGCCACTTGCGCATTGCCCTGCACCGCCCGCTCACGCCCCTGCCCTGCCCCTGCTGCATTGCTGCACCGCCAGCTCGCGCCCTGCCCTGCCCTGCCCTGCTTGCGCGCCTGCTGCTGCTACTTCCGTGCCGCCAAACTGAGTCGCCCTGCCGAGCCACTCGATAGAGCCGCCCAATCGAGCAGCCCTACTGAGCCGCCCATTCCTGCTGCGACTGTCAACTGCCGCCACCGCCCTTGCTACCGCCTGCGCGCACTCTTACAGTTGCTACCGCTACTGCTCCTACCACTGCTGCCACTGCACCTACCATTCCGGCTACCGCCGCTGCAGTCGCTACTTCAGCCCTTGAGCCGCTACTGCTGTCTGACACTGCCGACCATGGCCACCTTCACAGTCTTGCGTCAGCGGCAGCGGAGTGTGCCGGAGTCTCTCTCGCCGCAGCAACTTCGCAAGTGGGCCATCTGGTGGGGCAGCCCCGGTGGCGGAGCAAGCCGTGCTCATCGGGGGAAGCCGCTTTCCCCACAGCAGCGTCGTGAGTGGGCAGTCCGGTGGGGCAACCCCGGCGGCGGAGCCTAGGGTGCTACTACTGGAAGTACCTGTGAGTCTACTCCTGCTGGTAGTGCCGCTGGTAGACGTGGAGGTTCTGGGAGTGGACGGCAGCAGCAGCAGCGTCTGCCGGAGACTCTCTCCCCGCAGCAGCTTCGTGAGTGGACTGTCCAGTGGGGCAGCCCCAGTGGCGGAAGGTTTCGAGGTACTCGTACTAGGGGTGTAGAGGCACCAGGTGGCGTAGTCAGAGGCTACTAGTCTAGGTGCTTGTGACTCAGCTAGCACAGGTGCAGAGTCAGAGGAGGCCTTGCACTCTTTCACTCTAGACTCAGGCGCGTCTCGCTGCTTCTTTCGCGACAGCGCCACAGTTACACCGCTCACAGTCCTGGTTCCTGTCACTCTGTCTGGTTCCGTCGTTGCACGGGGCTCCACTGTTCTCCCCTTTCCGGCTGTCCCCTCAGGTACTCTTACAGGTCGCCACCTCCCCTCGTTCGCTAAGAACTCGGTGCCTACCTCTGTCCTCCAGGTGCAGTGGGTCACTGTCACCCAGCCTGGAGGAGAGCTTGTGGCGATCTGTACGGACTCCCGCACTGGTGAGCACATCGCCACGTTCACTCGGAGGCCTAGGTCTGGTCTGTACACACTGACTACTGAGTCCGCACTATTCGCCGAGTCAGGTCTGGTAGCTGCATCGGTTGAGGTTGTCATAACCTACAGGCAGGAATGGGTACAAGTATCAAACCCTAGAGGGGTTGTACCCCATATTGGCTACCCCACTACAGCCTACACAAATACAACATATATAATGTTCGACACACCCCCATAGGCAAAGTGGGGGAGAGCAAGGGGTCACAAGACCAGTCAAGAAAAGCAAAGCAAGCTCAGGGTGGATCACAACGTCACCACACACTGAGCACAAGCAAAGGGCCACAAGGCCAGTTCACATGCAGAGGTATATATGCAACAAGCACAGTACAGTGATCACTACCTAGCAAG